ATTCAAAATAAGCATAGAATGGTGGAATATAGGTTAGGTTTTTAGATAAAAAAAATTTTCTTCTTTTTTTTATATATACATATATTTCACCTACTTATGTAGAATTATATTTTGTGGAGCTAGGGATATTAGTATAAGGTTACTTTTAGTTGAATAGTATCCTGGGATTAGGTTTGGGAAGTCCGGGTGGGGGGTGGGGTGGGGTTTTTCAATTGTGATGTACTTGTGATTGTTTTTTTTCTTATGTTGAAAATAATAAAAAAAAAATTTGATAATAATTTGTTTATAAGAAACTAAGCAGATTGACAAAGTAGGAGTCTATCAAAGAAACAGGAACATTCATGCTGAATTTCAGTTATTTATTTATTGTGGCAATTAGAAAGATAGAGAGGGGGTTGTATGATAAAAGTAATTGTAAGAGTATTAATAGTATCAAAATCATGTGTCGCTCCAAAGTGGAAGAGCTCTGAACTCTATAAATACTGGGCAAAGCATACTAATAGATTAATATATTGATTGATTTAAAATGGGGCTTTATTTTATATAGAGTAGTTTGAATGGGTATGAAACTGTTTATATATATATATATATATACATATTGTACAGCAGTTTAAAAAGATAAAATATTACCTTCTTCATCTAGAATAAAACATAACATGCATTTAATATGTAAATATATGCATGGCTAGTTCAGATTGTGGAAGACGGATCACATGGAAAAATCTGGAAGATGTGAATCCCTCCCATGTTTTTGAAGGAGAGTATAGTTGTGAAAGATCAGTACTTTGTCTCTTTTCTACTGTTTTGGGAAGATGAGTGGGAGAGCTTCTAAAAGGAGCAAGTTCTTTCCTCCTTCTTTCTCCTTCATTAAGCTACATGGCTTTCCTAGAACCTCCATAAATCTCTCTCCTTTTTCCATCTCCTAGCAGGACAGTTGGTGTCAAAAGGAGCTACAATAAAAGCAGGAGAGTGTAGAAAATATTACTAGTTCTGCTTTTTAGGTGCATATTTCAAGGCTGCAAGCCTGGGTTTGGGAGAAAGAAAGAAGTAAAGTGAACAACATAGGAACAGCAAGAAGCAACTGGCAAATTGGGAGGAACAAAGAGGAAGAAGAGGCAGCTATAGACAGTCTGGTTAAAGGAAAAGCATTGCATTGCAACAATAACAGAAAGAGTAGAAAAACAACAGTCCAGCGGAACTGAAATTTGCCACTAGGTGAATCCTTTAGCGGCTAAGCCATAGCCACACATCTACAAGTATCTACACATCTACAACGATCCAGGACACTGGCTGATAAAAGAGGCTGTGGAGAAAAGAGAGTCCGAAAGCTAACAGAGTAGGTGAAGTTGACTTCGCAGCATATAAAGGGTCAGTCACCAATTTTGCAGAGACTGTGCAACAGCTTGCTTTACTGTATAGTCAGCTTATGCTTCCAACCTGAAAGCTGGTAAAGGGGAGGAAAGGTAAGAGACACAGTATATGAAGCTAAATAAAATGTACTTAAGCACCTAATATTTCCAGAGTAATAGAAAAAGGCCTGAGGTGTAGGAAGCAAGAATAAGATAGGCACAAGGGTATGACAGACTTAATAAAGGCTTTATTTTTGTTGAGAACCAAATTTTACAGTATTTTTGTAACTGCTCATCAATAAAGTATCTTGTGTTAGTAAAATCCAATCCACCCCATCTATCAAACAAAAATGAGCCTGTGACACAGCCTTTACATTTGCTTAAATGACTTAGTTTTTATAAATTTTCTAATTACTTTTCTAATTAAAAACAATCTAGCTGAATCTTTATCAGAAGAAAAAACATGGTTTGGAAAGAACTGTAAAAGCTAGATCTATGTATCATTCTCTGGTTTATTCCATAGAAGCAAGACATATAACCAATTTTATCAATTAGAATTCTTATAGTTCTGGGGTTCATAAAAAAATCTCATACAAGCTCTGTAGGACTTTTCATTCAGGGTCGGCAATAAGGTGATAATCTTAAACAACAAAGTGAATTACAGTAAATACATCAGAGAAAATGAACCAAAGAATCAGCTACTGAGAATGGGTAACTCGGCACTGTATTACAACCACCCTCAAGGCCATTATGTCTCTATTGAAGACAACTATACAAAATTGCAGTTACTTTGAAACCCAAGAGTATTTTAGTAACTTTTATTTTGCTTTCACCATGCGGTGCAAGTATATGGAGGAAAGCAGTACATCAGTATAATAGTACATAATCTTCTTTCCTGAGAAAATGGGCTCACAATCCTGAGAAAAAGAACACTGAAGGATATTAAAAAATCATAAAGATGAATAGGGAGATCTATACTCAAACAATTGTGAGAAAGATGGCATGCACATACATCCTTAACAATACTAAGAATGAGTGTGATCTGTTTTAGGGCTTTAAAAATTGTATCCTGCTTCCAATAAAAAAAAAGAAATGTTGTATTTCTGTTTCTACATATCAGAATATTATGTTCAATTATAGCTTGGTAAGTTTTCCAATTAAAATTCTGGCATACTAAAGAACAAAAAAAAACCTGGCATGATTAGCCAGCATTAGGATCAAGTGTGTTGCTTTGGGATTTGGTAGCACTTTGGTAAAGACTAAATGCATTTATAAAGTGTACGTGAACACCCATTCAGTTTCATATAAAAATGACATAACTGTAAAATATATGCATATACAAACTGAAAAAAATATTTTTTTCATTAGTATTATTATGGAGTTATTTTTTGATCTAGTGCCAAGTTTCTTTTAGACCTCGTTATGAAATCTCAAATGGAAAATAAGTTCAAAAGGTAGATAGACACAGTAAACAATCCAAAAAAGATGAATTCAAAACTTTCCCAGAAATTCTGCTTAATGCTGAAATATATTTGTTTCTAGATCATTCTCTCTGAAGAATAAAAAAACAAAGAAAAGAAAAGCTTGTGGAGAACTACTTGGAATATCTGTACAATATTTCTATCTCAAAGGCAAATTTTGAGAGAATGAGGAAAAAACTAAGAAATAAACTGGAAGAAAATCCAAAAAGTTTTTCAAAGTTTTGTAATATTTACACAAATGAACACCTCAGACAGTATGAAAATCAGTTTAATACAGTGCATTCATATTTAAAATAAATGTATGTTTGTTTCTGCATGGGCTATCGGTTGTCACAAATAGTAAACATCCAGGTGCTATCTAGAAAAACATACAGCTAGAACAGAGGTGTAAATTTAATTTATTTCCATAACAAAATAATTTATCATTCCAAATCCACTTCACCAATTAAAATGGGGAAAGTGACCAAGTTCAGTGTCATTATGAGAGGCATTTCAATGTTGCCAATATAAATACAGACTTTAAAGTACTAAAAGCCTAATGCATTTGTACATCTAAACACAGTAAGCCAATAATGGCTTATGAGTTTCCATTTTGTAATGCTTTACACGAAATTTCATTCAACTTAAGTTACCACTTTCACATCCCAAGTCTCAACACAGTCAGAATTCTGAAAGATGAGGATCCAGCAATGGCATTAGCTAAGTCCAGAAGCTGAATATTGGAGTTTTGCCAATAACACTTATTATGTAAAGGAATTCAACATTCTATATTACAGGTGCCCTTCTTGGAAACTTTTGTTTACTTTGTTCAAACCAAGCTCTGTAGAATGTAATTCCCAGTTTGGGGCTTAAAGAAATAAAAGACCTTGAGCTTAATGAAGTCTCCCAAGTATATGTGCACCTTTAGCAACAGGTGACCAGTCCCAATTATTTATCCAGCTCACTGCTGGTGCAGTTACATGTTTTCAGCCCAGGCTTCAAGCTCTTTCATGTCATCATCATCCTCCTCTTCTTTTTTCTTAGCTAGAAGCAAGGCACAATAGTAAAGAATTAAGCATTTCACTTTCAATACTGACTGAATTACCACATAGTGTGCAAGATATAAAAACCCCTATAAGTAAGAAAAATCATTAGATAGACTGCTATGCTGAATGAATGAAATTAAAAATTTATGCAAAACCTATTGTTAAATTAAATCAAAATATAATAGGAAATTACACCAACAAAGAGAAAAAAACTGGCAAGTGAAAATATAAAATCAAACTACTTACACTATGAATAAATATTTTATAAATGAGATATTGTATCTAGATTTAAGGTTATCCTAGTTTAAATTTTATTCTTCCCCTCTCATAGTTCTATGTTGAAATCTACTTGATGCATCTTTAGATAAATCTCCTTCCATTCCCATTTTAAGAACAATAGCTTGGTACAAATGTTATGCAGTCTATAATGAGTTTATATTCCAAGAACCATTTAATGGCATATCAACCTTTTGTCATGTACCAGTCACAATTTGTAATATTGTCCTAATCTCAAATTTCCAGTGTAGCTTACAACATTAATGTGTACTTTTATAGTGCTATAAAATTGTGATTGGAAAAGAGATCAGATATTCCTATAAAATAAACAAATTTTAGACATAGGTATGGCAAGATTTTTTTAAAAAAAATTAATAAATTATGCAAATAGTGTACATATGAGTATGTTTGTGCAGCATCTACATTTGTCATAGGACATCACTTTCCAACATTTACCAGGCTTTGAAGGTATAGCTATAGAGGGCACATTGGGTAGTGGAACAGTCTCTGGACCACTGATTTCCAACAGGTTTTTATCCAGTTCTTCCTGCTCTAGCTCCTCTAATTCAGCCATCAGTTCATCCTGTAATGGAACAAGTGAGAAAAATTTTCATTGCTTATATTAGTATCTGTAATCACATTTACTAATGCTGTATTATGAGAATAATAGTTTTAATTTTTATGACCCACTGGGTGCAACTGGATTTTCTCAGAGTCTCACCATTTGATTGATGGATGGATGGATGAATTTGAGCACTTATATATATATAAGTGCTTACAATATACTAAAAACATAACTTAATGCAAGCCAAACACTACAGTCCAATTAAAGATGAGGAGAGAAGGAGCAGAATGGGGGAGGAGGTAAGATCTGTTGTTAATCTATCAGCCACCTCCACTATGATGCTCCCGCATTGGAGCCCCAAGATAACTGACAAAAGCCAGGCCTTTAGGCTCTTACAGAAGGTGAGGAGGGTTGAAGCCAACCTTATTCCAGGGAGCAAGATATTCTAGAGTGCAGGCATAATGGCCTTCTCCTGGACTCTGCTGGCCAGAATATTTGGGCTGACAGGGCCCACAGCATGTCTTCTCTGCCAGCATGGGTGGGGTGGACTGATCCCAGTGAGACCCATGCCATGAAGGGCTTTAAAGATGATTACCAAACCTTGAATTACACCCGGAAGCCAACTGGCAGCCAATGCAGCTTGTGGAGCACTGGTGTTACATGGGTTATTCTTTGGGCCCCAAGAACTATTTGTACTACCACACTCTGAACCAGCTTCCAGATGTTCTTCAAGAGTAGTCCCATGTACAGCGCATTACAATAGTCCAATTGTGAGATGATTAGGGCCTGAATGATTGAGTGCAGGGACTCCTGATCCAGGAAAGGCTGCAACTGCGCACAGCCTAAAGTTGTGAAAAGGCTCTCCTAGCCGCAACTGCCACCAGCTCTTTGAGAAGGAGTTGCAAGTCCAGGCCAACTCTCAAATTACAGACCAGATCCATCTAAGGCCACCCCATCCAGAGGTAAAACTGACAAAGTACCGGATCTCGGGGCCCCATTCACCCAAAGCCGTTCAGTCTTGCCAGGGTTCAGTCAAAGTCTCTCATCCCCCCCATCCAGGCCCTCACAGCCTCCAGGCACCGCGAGCAACAGCATCACTTGCATCACCAAGCGTGGAAATATAAATTTGGGTATTGTCAGCGTACTACCAATATCTCAACCCATCGTGATAGATGATCTCACCCAGCAGCTTCATGAAGATGTTAAAAAGGAGTGGAGAAAGTACCGAATCCTGTGGCATACAACTGTCGAGGGCTGGACCTCTCACTCCCTATTAACCTCAATTGGGACCAACCGTGGAGAAAAGAGCCGAACCAGCACAAGACTGTGCTGCCCAGCCCCAGCCCTGTAGCCAACTCAAAAGGATACCATGATTGATGGTATTGAAGGTTGCCAAGAGGTTAGGGAGAGTGAGGATGGTTTAACAACTGTGGTTCTTAACAGGTGATCACATCATCATGTCCAATGTTCTCTAAACCGTCATGATGCTTTAGTTGTGGGTAATTAGCACTCTATCAAAGTATTTTAAATTACTGAGCTTCCTAACCACTGTATGTCTGACACAGAATGTAATTATTGTTAGTTATTTATTCTTACGTCATCAAATTCTTCACCAATTCCTACAGGCTTGGAGATAGCAGTTGAAATTTCATCAGCTAACTCTTGCTGTTCTGCAATATCTTGCATGAGTTCATCTACTTTGTCAATATCCCTGTAAGAGACCAATATGGTAAGTTTCATCCATTCAGAGAGTATCTTGGAGAGCAATTAAAATTAGCAGGCATTTCTGGAAACCTATATTGAAATCATTTCAACACTGATTTAAATTAAATTTCTTTTAATATTAGACTTAACAGTTTATGAAAATGAGTTACTATAATTATCTGCAATACAATAAGGATTTATTCCAGTTAAAGTTCAAATTGAGATCATAGAAGTGAAATGCCTTTTATGCTACATGAAAAATGATTTCAGTATACAAAGTAGAATGCATTTATGAATAATCACAGAAATGAGCTATAATAAGTGTTCAATTTTTTCTGAAACAAAGAGATTGGTAATTATTAAGCAAAATTAGTATTTCTTTGCCTTATTCAATACTGCTGCATGTTAATAATTTCCCAATGCTTTATAGTACTCAGACGCTTGGGGGGAGCAATCTGAATTCTAAGACTTGTGATCTGTTTTCCCTGGATCAATTATAAAATTTTTAAAAAGCTGGGTTTTTTTTAGACAATGGCCAAAAACGGTTTACGCTAATTAAACCAAAAACACTGCAAATCCTAATCCTTGCTTTGTACTCATCCCTCCAGAAAACCAATGAGAAGGATATCTTACATGTTATCATGAGCAGCTTTCATTGCTTTTGCAGCAAAGCCCATATTCTTGAGCACTTCGGTATTTGTGTTAGCATTTTCCAAGGCTTCCCTCTGGAATTCAATTGTGGAGAGTGTGCCATCTATTTGAGCAAGTTGCTTTTCATATCTCTTCTTTCGTTTTAGAGCTTGGAGTGCAGCTGGATAAAAACAACACAAAGCATGATTGATATATAATGTGCCTCTACAACTGTCTCTACTAGAATGCTACCCAGAATATAAAACCACTTCAAATGTGTGTTCAAAATTACTCCTCTTTATTTTGTTCCAAAATAAAGATACTCTTTCCTAGGGAAATAAATTTTACTTATTATCTCTAAATTTAACTCCATATCAGATTCATAGCATTGACAGACTAATATTCTATTGAACTCAAATAGGCATGCTGAACAGCTTTCAGTCCATTTTTCTCAAAACCAGGAGGTGAAAAAGAAGAAAACTAAAAATCAAACAATATATAATATTGTTTTATAATATAGTTTTATATATGAAACAATACACTCAAGGAGCGAGGTGGGGTATCTTTTTAAACTGAAATACAAAAGATGTATTGGAGTTGCTGGTGTTTATGGAAAGTACAAATGGACTTGGATAAAGATGGAAAGAAGTTCAAGAGAAAACGCAATGAAACTAGAAGAAAACAGGAATTAGAATTCTATCTATGGGACTTAAGGATGGTTGGGAGGAGGCTGTGCAGACTGCTTCAGGGAAGAAAAATGGGACAGTTGCTCCTGGGGCCACATGGCAGCCTCCTGGGAATGGCCACCATTTAAGTGGACATTTAAGGAATTGTATGTGTGCTGAAATGATGACCACTTCCAGGAGGCAGCCAGCGATAAAGTGGCCTGCCCTCCTTCCCCAACATGAGATTTCTGAATCAAAAGAGCTGCATGCAATGGGTGACAGGAGGGTGAGGAGCAGCCCAAGGCCTACGGGGACTTGGTAGGGCGGAATGGGAGTAAGAGAGGCCAGAGAAAGGCCACTGCAGTGTCCCTGCAGTCGGCCCTAAGGGCGAATGACCACGGGGGCATTGTAGCTGCCATAACTTCAAAACAAGGTTGTAAGTAGCTTTTGGGAATCTGTCATAACTTCAAACAGCTACTAAGTGAGGACTACCTGGGTGTATATTTATTTTAGATTTCTTTGTTAGTTTTATCTGTTTAATATAATTCTTAATAAAATAATTGGGAAAAAGAAGGAAAACCTATTCCCCATATATAAAAATATTAAGGATAATAACTCTTTTCTAATGCACAACGTTTGCATGATTTAGTTTCTTTTCCCCTTTTTCTACGGAGTTAAAAAAAAGATAAATGATATGTCAATCAAATGAAAACATGGAAAGCCACCGAAGAGGAGACTCAGGTCAACTCAAATAGTTTTGGATGACCAGGCTGTAAGATAGTCTGTTTCCAGGGGAAATCACAAAGAAAAAGCAAGACAATAAAGTTTTCTCACTGCTTAAAAAGAAGCCAGAATATGCGAGGGAAGGAAGAAAGAAATTTGTAGAAAGGTGCTTCATTATTATGCATTTTTAAGAAACTATGAAAGAAGAACAATGCCATTACCCACTCAGGAAACCATCATCCTGCATATCCTATAAGCCTAATGAGTTAAGAAGTAGTTATATGAATAGCCTATATGCCTTCTATGAAGCTGTTTAATTTTGAGGGTTGAATTTGCTGTACCAGAAAAAACTGTTTGATCAATTGCCATGACAAATACAATATGAACTGTTATCTCAAATGTCAGTAGCTATACAAACAGGACAAAGAACTTATTTTGCCCATTAAATTACCAGCAGCTTTTATTTTATCAGCAATTTATTACATACCTATTGCATTTTAGGTGCCATTGAGTCATTTTTAACTCCTAGCAACCACATAGATTTTCTCCATTTTTTTCTCTATTCAGAAGTATGTATTACACAGTCCTTTCCAATGTCTCAATTCTTGAGAAATCTCAGCTACAGAAATCATGATAAAATTCACCTTTAATTTTATGATATGCAGGTCAGAATGAGACTTACCGTTTTGCCTCATCAAACCTACAAAAAATATACACCTTTGTGTTACTTTCACCACCTGAGGCTTAAGGAGTACTTTCAAAACAAGAAACAAGACATAGAATTACAACCATCACGAACCTAATACATCCTGGAACAACACACAAGTACAGATCACATCAAATCCCAAACACATTTTAAATATACTGCATGGATGTAACACTACAATGGATTTCTACATGAAATGTTTATCACAAATTTAAGCCACACTCATCAGTAAAATAAAACCTCTCATTCTGCAACAATCTTAGCAAGGCAGAACTTGGTGCTCCAAGATCTTCAGAACTAGAAAGATTTAGTATTAAGCAAGTTAACAGAAGTTATAAAAAAGATAGATTATGTCAAGGAAGCCCAGGAAAAGCAAATAACACCATATTCTACTAACGTCTCTCCTCAGATCCCACAACAACATACCAGAAAGAACTATGTAATCTGATGAAATAATTTTCTAAGGACATATAGAACTATATAGAAACAACTCAGATGCCCCAGTTGGGTACTTTTACCTAATCCTCAAATTACATAAACTAAGAAATTTTGATCATCCCATTGTCTCGAGCACTAGAACCACCACAGCATATCACAAAATCAGATTCCATAGACTGTGTTCAGATCTTAACCAATCAGCAGTCCGGCTATGTAAGAGCTATCGTAGACTTACTAAAACACCTAAAATCCATTGGCAACCTTCCCATACCATTTTAACTATCCTGGATATTGAGATATTATATACAACATCCATTAAGTATAGACTTTAATGTCAGGAATATCATAAGTGAGGTCAATAAAGCCTATCTTGCCATTAGACTGTATGACTTCGTATTCACCCTCACCTTTGGCAATAACATATCTGCAAATCAATGGCACTCATAGCTCCACAATGTGTCTACATCTTCACAGCTGACCTAGGGCATGCTTTCTCAAATTTTACATTCTGAAGCCCCTAACCTACCTGAATCTCTCATTAAATTCCATCAAAATCTTAATTTACACTGCATCACCAACCTTAGTTTTGACCTACTTATACAAAAGTTCACTTTCTTGACGTCACATAAAATTACACAATAGACAATAAACACCATGTTGTACAGGAAACCTACAGGTCATAATGCACAGCCACCTGCCTCCAGCTTCCATTGAGAAAACAAACAAGTATTTACTACTAGAAACTATGCATTTGCTCTGAGATGCTCAATTGATGAAATTAAGGCTTTGGTAGGACTGAATTACCCAATCAAATCAGTAAGCAATTGATAAAGTCACATCAATTCTCAGGAAAGACATATCAAAAGAGAGCAAAAAAACCTAGAATAGATCATTAGTTGTCACAACTCACAGTTAAAGCCATTCAAGCACATTATTAATATACAACCCATACTACAATTCAAATGATACTACTCTTTCTCAGGCATTGAGTGACAGCCTATACTTACATATAAGCAATCCCTAAACTGAAGTAGACTCTCAGAAAAACAATAAAATAATGATGTTAAACATGGGAACCAGAACCAGCAAGATATTCAGATATCTAATTTGTTCCCTAGATGTGTACTTTCATAGAATCATAGAGTGAAAGGGACATTATCATTATCATATCCATCATATCTATACTGCAAATGCACTACATCATCTCTTGTAAATAACTAACCAACCTCTATTTGAAAATCTCCAGTGAAAGGGAAGAAGTCCATGTAGTAACTTATTCTGATTAGAATTCTTATCATCAAAATGTTCTTCCTAATGTCCACATCCTTGAGGTTTCATGCTATTCTAGTCTTATCTTGTGGAACTTGTGAGAATAAGTCTGAACCCTCTACAACACGACTGCCCATCCCGGGTTCGAGACCCAAGCACCACATGATGGGGTGAATTCCCATTACTTACCCTAGCTCCTGTCAACCTAGCAGTTTGAAAGCATGCAAATGCGAATAGATTACCTTTGATGGAAAGGTAACAGCACCTCAGCATAGTCATGCTGGCCACATGACCAAGTGTCTTGGACAATGCTGGCTCCCTCAGCTAAGAAACAGAGATGAGCACCGCCCCTGGAGTCGGACATGACTGGATTAGGAGAAACCTTTACCTTTACCTATGACTGGATTCAACTTAAACTTATCAATGTGAAATTAAACTGCAGATCATACTTACTAAGCCACAGAATCCATGTAGGCCTCAAATAGGAACAAGGAGGCAAGCTAAGTTGAGCAGAGTCATACACAATATTGTATAATTTTACATGAATCTAAAGTATTCCCTTAGTACAGGGCTCCCTAAACTCTGGGCTGCGCAAGACTGCTGCTTGCACAAATGGAGCTGCACACACAAGCATGCTCACCTGCTGCTCCTGTGGAACCATCTCCTCTTCTCTCCACACCCCCCCACCCCTGCCACTGCCAGTTTGCAAAGCCAGAAAGGTTGGGGACCACTGCCTTAGTATCCCACTCAGGCTATTTCAATATCTGATCTCCATATCATAACAGAACTTAATTTGGGAGGAAGAGTTGGGAGAGAGATATTATTGGAAAGAATTGGAATAGACAAATTAGTAACTTTAATTTACATGTGCACCTACTCTTTATTATCATGTCTTTGTTATTTTTTATAAATAACTCAAAGTGACAAACATACTTAATACTACAACTCAGAGTCTTCCAGGTCCTAGCCTGATGCCTAAATCACTAGAGCAAACTGGCTTAGTACTTAGGAATTAATATAGTCAAAAATGATATACCACTAATGCTAAAAGACAAATAAACTAAAAGCTTTATAAAATGGTTGATTGATTACATACTGCACTGTACATCTAAAACAGTGTTTCTCAACCTTGACAATTTTAAGGCATGTGGACTTCAACTCCCAGAATTCCACAGCCAGCAATGCTGGCTGTGGAATTCTGGGAGTTGAAGTCCACATGCCTTAAAATTGTCAGGGTTGAGAAACACTGATCTAAAAGATTCTAAAAAATCCAAAGTGCCTTTTTATATATATATTACAACTCCACACAATATTCCCCAGATATCTGTTGTGCCCTGGATGCTATTGGAGTTGTGGGGAGGTCCCTTCAAAATGATTTGAACATCCAACACTCATGATACTATTGAGAATAAAGGAACCGTTCCAAGTAGGGTGCTTTTCACCAAGAGACCTACACCTTACAACAGTGTTTCTCAACCTTGGCAACTTGAAGAGGTACGGACTTCAACTCCCAGAATTCCCCAGCCAGCTGTGCTGGCTGGGGAATTCTGGGAGTTGAAGTCCAGACCTCTTCAAGTTGCCAAGGTTGAGAAACACTGCCTTACAATCAAAGATTGCTCCCTCAATCACGGATTTCAGAAACAGTAGAAACCTCTCTCAAAAATTTTGCTCTTCTGTGCTGACTGATGTTGGTGCATTTTCCTTCTGCAAGCATTCTCCATCGCACCCATTCCATCACATAACTTTTGAGGCCAAAAGGGGCAGCTGAAGAAAGCCCACACCGTCCACAACTCTGAACCTACCTCTATACATGCCCAGGTTTACTCCCGAGTAAATACAAAGAACAAGATCCACTTTTACTACTCCTACCCGCTCTCGCTCTCGCATCCAAAGAGGACGTTCAAATTCACCTCCTCCGAGTCCCCCCACAAACGTGAAGTGGGCTTTTTCCTCCATCGCTCCGATCAGCCGGACTCACCGCGCTTATTCTTGGTGCCGTGCTTGCGGGCCGCCAACAGCTCTTGCTCGATCTTCTCTTCCAGGAACTCCTGTTTTTTACTCAGCATGTCCTCGGTCTCTTTCAGCCTCTGGATGGCCTCCTGGGGAGAAGGCCCCTTCCCGCCGCCTTTCTCCCCCGGGCCGATCCCGAACAACTTCCCCAGCAGCCCGGACATGGCTGGACCTCGCGCGAGGAGAGCGACCGAGAACCCCAGCCCGGAGGAAGTAAGGAAAACGGGGAAGGGAAGGAGGCTCTCTAGAAGATGCTGCGGTTGCTCCCGAGGTGCTGAGGTGGACGTGGCGGGGAAAGGTGATCCCTGCGGTCCCCCTCCCGTCCTCGAACCGTCAAGCGGGCTAGTTGGCCGCACAGGCCAAAGGCCCGACACTGACCGCTCTCTTAGACCCAGCCCTCGGCATCAGCCCTAAGCGCCCCCCCCCCCGACTGGCTCACGGCCTGTCGTAGAACTGCTCCCGATCCTATACGTCACTCGTACAGCTATGGCAACAGCGGTAACCCCGCCCACCTCCGTCTTCCCCCCCTCGGCTCAGTGGGTGTAAAATAACCAGCAAAGTCTGCCGGGAGTTGTAGTTTTGTTTGAGAAGGGACGCTGTTGCCTAAATGTGCTTACACACGCACAATATTGTTCTTGTTTCGTCAGTTCCTGAGTCGTCGTAATAGTTTCATCCATAAAAATCGTTGATTAGTTTGCCTCGTTTTTATGTATACATTTTGAAACTCCCAATTCACGCAGCATCCAGATATCACAACATAAATAACGTGCTTCAAAGAGTTTTTTTTAAAAGGTGTTTGTTTAAAAGGCTTTTGTCGTTTTTTCTGAGACTTGAATGCTATATTTAAAAGAAAGAAAACTGATGCTCCTGATGCTTATGTTTTAGTGCCCTTGCTTGCTGTGCATCTTTTCTAGACTATTTCATTGGTTTTAATGCGAGGGTTTCCAAACATGCCGTCTTGCCCATTTCATTTGACTATCATATGACTTATGAGAATATGGAATCTTTTAAATCTTTTAGCCTTGAATCAACAAAGGGCCGTTTTGTTGGTATGCTCTAATGTTCTGCCATCAACTCTGCTTCAGACTTAGAAATCCAGATTATCTGCATTGAGTTTACATTACTGATAGTTCAGTTGAAATGAAAAATGATAATCCGCTGACTAGTGTGTACACACTTTATCCATTGATAGCTATTCTGTGTAAATCTATCAGGAAGATCTGATGAATATTATGCATATTTTTCATGTATGTATGTTTTTTGTCCTGTCAAACCATACATCAGGGGAAAATTAGGTTTAAACTATTCCTTCTACCCAGCGCTTTTTTTGTAAAAAAAAAAAAAAGGTGCCAGAACTCACACACGTCATACAACCCGCCTTGCCTACCCTACAAGGTTCCATCCAAAAAAGGTGCCAGAACTCTGTTCTGGGCGTTCTATGACAAAAAAAGCCCTGCTTCTACCACTCATCAAGTAATTAAACAATCAAATTGCTAGTTACTTTGTGTGCTGTATTTATTGATGTTTGCAAAATAGCCTGCTGATTTTAAGTTATTTTTCTTATGGTCTCTATATCTGTTTTTGTGCTGACTTTAGCCCATGAGAAGGTGAAAGTCAAATCAAATAATGAGAAATTCATCATTATTACCGACCCTTATTACCAGACAGATGCAGCTGATTTATCCTTTGTCCTATTTCAAATGCTTTCCATTTGGTTTCTCTGCGTGTCTGTGTGTATGCTTTGGGGAAAGAAGAGGGTATTTAGTAGAAATTCTTTCAGCTAATAAGAGATTGGCTAGAAACAGGATATCTGAAGTCTTGAATCTGAAGACCATCCTTCTTCAGCCTGGTGCCCCCAATAACTCATCCCTCCTCCCAGAATTTCCAGCCAAATGACTACAAATGTTAAGAGAGACAGTCCCAACACAAGTAGAGGGCATCAGGTAAGAAAAATCTGTGGTAGAGAACCTTTCAGGTTAGTTCCCAATCCTAATCCAAGCATCATTCCAAGGTAGAATAATGTGTTAGTTCACATTAATAGCATACATACAGATGAAAATTCCACCTATGACAACATTTTATTTCCCATATCTGGCACTGTCAGTTGCATTACTTCAATTACAATAGTTCATTAGCAAATCATAAAGATAATTCCTCCCTTTCTGAGGTACCACAACAATTGATATTCAGTGACATGTAGATCTGATTCACACACTAACTAAGCTTTAATTTAACAATGGTTTATTAATAACATACAAAGCCATAAACCTTGACTTACAACAGGCCATGGGCATAAACTTTTTAAAAAACAATTCATTAACTATGGAATATAAATGTTTAACATGAAACATACTGTAAATGGGACAGTATGCAAAAAAAGAAAAAATTATTCCACTGTCTAAAAAAGACAATTAGTTTTTAATATGACATTAAGTCAAAAACAAAATTTGAACATTCAATTGTCTGTAAGTTTGAATTTGGTATCAAAACTATCACTGAAAAATAGTTATTGCAACATTACTCATTCCCAATAGCTGCAAGACTTGCAGACAGAAGTAGTTGTGAAAGAGAACAATGACCCTAAATATTCTCTGCTCACTTCCTAATGTTCATCTGACAGTGCTGCTTCCCTACAAATCCAATAGGCAGACGTGCCATGTATTTTCCAGATGCTTTAATCAAGTGTCACAATCACTTGTAAGTAGTATGATGGTTAATATTAAAGTTTAAAATACGTAGAAGACACCAGCCTAAATTGTTTCCACAAGGCCGAGGCCTGCCTGTCACAAGGTCAAACAACAGATTCACCTTACTCATAGCAAGCTTGGCTCACAAGCCTATTCTTTTCAGTGTGAGGAAAAGGAAAAACTTGATGCAAGTGGGATTGGTTCTTCTCTTCTCAAATTGATTAATGGGAATAATATAAAGGATCGAGTACTGAAATACACATTGTGTTAAAATATTATGGAGCAGTATATAATTGTATTTTAAAATGTTTTAAACTATAATGTAATAAATTTAAAAAACTGATTTTATAGAAGATTGAATTTTTTTCAATTTAGAATAGAGCTGGAAGAAACTCTGGAGGTCTTCTAGTCCAGCCCCCTAATCAAGCAGGAGACCGGATACCATTTCAGATGAGTGGCTGTCCAGTCTCTTCTTAAAAACCTCATTATAAAGCACCCACAATTTCTGAAGGCAAGCTGTTCCACTGGTTAATTGTTCTTACTGTTAGGAAATTTCTCCTTAATTCCAGGTTGCTTCTCCCTTTGATTAGTTTCCATCCATTGTTTCTCATCCTGCCCTCTGATGCTTTCGAAAATAAGTTGATCCCCTCTTCTCTGTGGCAGCCCCTCAAATACTAGAATACTGCTATCATGTCACCCCTACTCCTTTTTTTCTGTAGATTACCCATACCCAAATCCTGCAACCACTCTTCATATGTTTTTGTCTCCAGGCCTTTAATCATCTTAGTTGGTCTTCTCTGCACTTTTTCCAAAGTCTCAGCATCTTTTTTGTAATGTGGTGACCAAAACTGGATGCAATATTCCAGGTGTGGTCTTACTAAGGTTTTATAAAATGGTACTAATACTTCATACTTCATAATGAATTTTGTTAAGAAAGATGTTGACACTGGCTTATCACCTATGCTGGGAGTACAACCTTGGTTTTGGGAGAGGCAACCTGAGGCAAATTACTGCAGCTAAAACTTTGAAACCATATATATCACTTCTCTGTATTATCTTCACAGTCATTGTGCAAGCAGCAATGGGCATAGGAAAACCAGATCAATGGAGATGCCCAATGAAGATGCCAGCCCCTTAACTTCTTGGTATTCTAATAGGCAATAATTGAAAATAAGGATTCACTTTCAATAGACTGATATGGTACACTCTTGAAATGTGACTTGGAGACAATATGAAACAAGGATTGGGTATTAAGTGTGCATGTGCATGAAACTCAGAGGCTGCAATTCTGTATATTTTAAATGGAACTACAATATTCTATTAAACTTAGAGGGGCTTACATCAAAGTATATAGATGTAAGCTGGACCCGCACATCACATTGTGTACCATAGCATAGACTGTTTTGTTTTGTATTAGTGTGTTGTATACCTAGCTAGTTGGGACCCCCAATTTGGTCATTAAGTAAAGATATCACTAAGTGAAAAATCATGTGACTGCAATTGTACTTACAATTTTACACAGGACAATGCAAACTGATTATAATGGCAAATACATGATTGAGAGAGATACTGCAAAGATTGTAAATATGGGCAATGGTCCCAAAGTTACCTTTTCAGTAGCATTGTAACTGCAGTCATTGACTGAGGCAGTCACTAAGCAAGGACTACTTATAGTTTGACACATTACTTAGACAAGCCAGTTTAGTACTTTAGTTAAATGAATGCACCCAAGTATGCATGAAGCACCTAGTTTTGAATAATTAAAGTAAATGTGTGTTTTACGCACATTTGGAAACTGCTCCCAACTGTCACCACACGTGAAATATATGTACACATACATAGAAACAGCTAGGAGCCACACTAATGCCGTTATGCAAATTGAAAAAGCTGCAGCTGCTTAAATAAGAGATCCTTCATACATGCCCATGGTTTTGAGTTACCTCTCTTGAAGTGAAATCAAGTTCTCTCATTTCCTGTGGATATAACAGCAACTTTAGAATTTCAGATAAAAAGTACACAAAAGGCCAAAAATTCTGACTCAAAGATTTAACGATCTGTAGTGTTACAGAATGCATGTTTTCCAGAAACTTATGGACAGCATACACTCAAGAACAATTGGATTTGGATAGCGTGACTGCAGGACATCTTGGGGAAAAATAACACAAAATGTAACATCAGCACTAGAAGTAATCCATTGGAACTAATATAATTGTCTCATTAAATTAGAATCATCCATATCTCTTATTATCTCAATCTGGTCTTTAATAAATCTGAAGCAACTACTTGCTCAGGTCTAATAAGATGCAATTGTTTCCCACTATCAAATAAGTGGTTGTGAGGTACAAGCTCAAGCTACATTGGCTCCACAAGTGCATGGTCACTGAGGCTTCTGGTGAAGTACCTTAGAACACTGTTTCTCAACCTCAGCAACTGTTAAGATGTGTGGATTTCAACTCCCAGAATTCCCCAGTCAGCACGAGGTTGATAAATATTGCCTTAAAAAGCTCCCTTCTTAAATGTAATGAATAAACAAACAATTATAGATGGAAAATGGTATGAACACTATTACAGTCCATGCTGGTCTTTTCTCCCTTTTCTAGTTCTTTCTTAGCAGGTGCATATTTAGCAACCCTCAATTCTTGAAAGATCCAGTTTTCTTTGAAATCCAGATGCCTGAGATATTCCCATTTCAAAATTATATATTTAGATGTTATTTCCTTCCAAAGCTGCTGCTCAGTATCGGCAAATCTGGGAAAGTTTGGGAGGGGTGCTCCACCTTTGTCTACTGTGTTTGTATACAACTTCCCCATTCCAATATACCCTGAGAAAGGGAAACGGTAAAAAATACTTTTATGAATAAGTCTGTGAAGTTTTCAAAGAATAAACTTTCATCTTGAAAGTGCAACGTAGATTTTAGGATAGAACCATAAATGGGGTCCTAGGAGTGCATAGGGGAACAAGTAACATATGGGCAATGGCATTATCATGGAAATTTCACGGCTTGCATATTTGTGTCAGAGATCAGGATGCAAGTACGTAATATTTGCACATTAACATTTTCTTGCACGTTTTGTCATTTTGGTGTCACCACCATTCGCTTTAAGTGCTCCATAATGAAACAATAAAATTAAATCAAGAAATGTGGAAAATATTGCGGTGATTTAGATTCGGAGTTCAAGAACTTGAATGAATATTTAAGCACTGAGTATCTTTAAATGAAAAGAAGGTAACTATCCCCATCTGTTTTTAACAGCTTCTTCCAATTAATTCATCCAGATAAGGAGAGGAATGTTTTCACTTTGTAACACGTTTCTTTAAAAGAATGTTGTCCTCTGCATCAGTGAAGCCAAACATTTATACACATACACCACCATTCATTTCTCACTCTCTGCAGCAGTTCTTTTGTATGAGTAAACACAGGAACTTTCCCTCCTACTAAATGGACGCAGCATAGCATTCATCAATTTAGTCAGTAGTGTGGATGTAAACAGGGACTGCCAGCATGGCACATGGACTCTCAGAGCCAGGCTGCAATTCTGTCAGAGAAAGGTTGGGTGAGATGCCAGAATGCTGGCCAGGGTTGTCAGTGTCTGAATTTGCTGCTGACCTGCCAACCACAATGGATAGAACAGTGTCAGGTTCAGAAAATTGTTCTTTATTAGGACCACTTTTTTGAAGGCTCTCTCCACCTGTAGTGTCTTTGAGTTCTGTGAAAGCCAACTGAGCTGAAAGAGGAAGCCCCACTTTCCGCCCACGTGCCCCCCACTTCTTCTGGGATTTTCTGACTGGCAATTCTTTATCCTTTGATGAGTTCAGCCTACATTTGTGGTCCTTCATGTACTTCTGGCGGGTAAAACCTTTGCTACATGTAGGGCAACGGTACTTATAGTTGCCAGTGTGAGAACGCTGATGTTCCATCATATGAGCTCGTCGGCTGAAGGCTTTGTTACAGTACTGGCACTTGTGGATCTTCATACCTAAAAACGAAAGAATGCAGCAAACAGCTTTGATATAAAAAGTTTCTGAAGGCCTCATCTAAACCCAATTAATAATTTTGTGAGTGAAGCCAGATTTGAACCTAAACTTTATGGCACACTTTCTTAGTGACTCTGCATCAATTCTACATACAATTCTATATAATTACACTGGTGATATAAACCATATTTTATATAGGAAGCTATGCAAACTCAGCTACTTTGAATAGATATGATTTATTGAAGGTTTCGCTATCTTTGGCTCTTGTGAATAAATTACAGCATAACAATTCAATGTGGAATCGTTAATTCAATCCCAATGGTAGCTAGAATTGGATTTATTTGATTCAAAGCTCAAAAAGGGAAAACATAAATTGTTAGGACTGAATTGCACTGCTTCTAATCTTCACTGAAGTTGAGAAACAAAATATAAAATGCTTTATTAATATTCAATATATTAATTATAATTATTTTCAGTACTGATCCAAATCAAAGCAATAATTCTACATACCTGAATGGGACAAAATATGAGCTTTCAGTTTGTCCGGTCTATTGAACTCTTTACTGCAGCCTGTGTGATTTCTGAATAACAAAATAAAAATAAGCTATGCAGAGAGGAACTTCTAAGATTATTCATTTATTAAAATATCTGTACAATCATCCTTCTTTGAACAGATAATTCTTTTTCACTAAAACAAAGATAGTCATTTTAGCAGAAGCAAGTTTAAATTATCAAACCTTTTGCTATAGCAAGAAAGAAGTGTTGAGTTCTTGGTGCTTTCTGAGCTTGGTTATTTCCTTGCACACATTTTATTTTCATGCTATGTAACATCATCAATACAAAAGACAGTTGTTTTATATATACGGATAGTCCTTGTTTAGCAACCACAATTGGGACTGGCAACTCAGTCATTAAGTGAAGTGATTGCTAAGTAAAATCATGACTCTGCTTATGATCTTACTTCAGCTTTACTTTGCTTTACAGACCTCCAAAGGTTGTAAATGTGAGGATTGGTTGTAAAATTATTTTTTCATCACTGTCATAACTGCGAATGGTTGTTGAACAAGGACTTTATGTAGTAGCTTGCTATTTTCCCTCACAATGATAATGTTACCTAGTCTGCACCAAAAGAGCACAAAGAACCCTACAGTTCTACCCTGAGTTACTTATATTCTCTTCTGCTGCAAGAATGAAGACCCTACGCGGTGATGGAAAGAATTTTGTTCCATTTCTCTTTCACAATATTTTTGAAAATTACCCTATGAAAAAACAACAAAAAATAACTGCATATTGGTCCTTAATTAAAGAGGTAGAAAGAATAAAAGACTATTAAAGTGAACAATCTACCTCCAAGCAAGGTTGCTACTTTATTGCACAATTTAAGAAAGTCAAAGTCACCCAATAAAGCCAGGAATGGGAAGAGGTAGAGAAGCCAGACAAAGCAGAATTTAACAGAAACAATGCTTTCAATATAATGAGAGCTTTGGGATGATAGGTCTACATGAGACTACAGACAAACCATAGGTCTATGGTTAAGTGTGAGATGATGTGCGATAGGGCCACCTGGGAGCACCTTACAACAGCATGGACCACCTGCGTAAACCACAATTTTTTTCAACTTAGTCTTCCTTTCATTTCAAAACTGGTTTTCAGTGTAGTGTAATAACTCAATGTGTGTGACCAGGGCTTTGTTTTAAACAAGTAACCTTGGTACAAAACACTTAACCCTGCTGTACCCAAACTATGCACAGATGTATTACGGGATACTATTTAATAAATGGAGCTGTTAGTGAGAATGTCACAACCCACAAGCTGGGAACCACTGGGAGGTGCTATGAACTGAGAAAGTTTGGGAACTTCTGATTTGGCCAACCTCAATCAATAAAAATAAGGCAATTCCATCTCCTTTATATGCATTTGTTCAAAAAGCTGCTAATTATTTGCGTCATTTTATTTTCCAAAACCTAAGCAATCCAATAGGAAGCTAGTGTTACTGTGGGCCCTCTGATACTTACGAGAATGGACATTTATATTTCTTGAAAGGCTCATGGATCAGCATATGCCGTTTGAGTTTATCTTTCCTGTTGAAGGCTGAGTCACACACTGAACACTTAAAAGGCTTTTCACCTGCACAGGAAAGAGGTATGAATTCAGCAATAAATGGGTTTGGTTAAAAAGCATTCTAATAAGTCATTTTCTATTCCTGGGTAACAGAAACATGATTAAATAGAATTGGGATTAGTTCCCCAAGACCTTTCCTGTCTCTGATGTATTGCTTCTAATAGATGCTTGTATGTTTAACATATATTCAAATGGTTCCAATCAAAATAGTGATCCATCAGACAGAAATTAAGAATATTGTTAAGAGAACACAATTTTTCAAATAGGGAGGCAAAACTCAACAAACGTAAGGTATCAACGACCACTGAAGATGATGACAGGAGAACCTTAAAACATGAAGAGGTTCAACAGATTGGAAACCGATTTCTGCCATTTCTTACCTGAATGAATGTGTGCGTGTAATTTGAGGTAGTGTTCTCGGCGGAAGAACTTTTTGCAGATCTGGCACTTAAATTTACCTCCTCCTCCGTGTGTAGGGAGATGCCTTCGCAAGTACCTTTCACAGGGAAACACCTATTAAAAAAAGGCAATGTCATTAAAACACTGGTTAAGGTCATTTAGAAGGGTAGTAATACCAGTCAGACCAGGAGGGGGCACTATTTTGTGGCTACAGTTTACTCTTATCTCAAAACCAAAAATAACATTGACCACCAAGAGAAAGTTAAAATATTTAAAAGCATTTAAAACATTAAAAGCATTTAAAACATTTAAAATACAAGGCAACCAAGCTTTCATCGGGCACTCCCGACATCATCAGGGTTGAAAAAAGGCAGTTAAGGGTGGAACCTATATGCAGCCCTCAAGTGAAGGGCTTACGCACAAGTAAAAGGAATGTATCCAGAGCGCAGGAGCACAGGCAGCTGGGTCCGATCACACGTTCACGTAGCCGGATGCAGGCACTTGAGGGCCGCATAAAGGTTCCACCCTTAACCGCCTTTTTCAACCCTGATGATGTCGGGAGTGCCCGACGAAAGCTTGGTTGCCTTGTATTTTAAATGTTTTAAATGCTTTTAAATATTTTAACTTTCTCTTGGTGGTCAATGTTATTTTTGGTTTTGAGATGAATGCACCCAAGAGTCAAACCTTTACCATTATTACCAGTCAGTTTACTCTTAATATTTTTTTGAGAAACTGACACTAAAAAGTGAATGGGGAGGTCACATCTCAAATAAGGGCAAGGCTGAATTTTAGAAAATTTCAGGATTATCTTCACTTTTTAACATGGAAAGCTTCATTTTAGGGGCTTATTTTACAGTTTTCATCTATTTCTCGATTCAAGAAATAGACACTAATTGATAGCAGGATACCTTCATTGCTTTTCATCAGTAATGGTTAGATGGATGCTCTGAGGGCTTCAAGGGCTCTTTTTGGTCCAGGGTCTACAGATTAGCTACTCTTTCCCTAAGGAAATGGGTATGTATAACAAATCTATACAGTAAAAGTCTAAAGTAGATGAGGCAAAGACTTTACTAACCTAAATCAAGTGAACTTTAAAAAAAACACACCTCTGCGTCAGGTAATGAGTCACAGAACAGTATGTTGTGCAAAGGAGAAGATAATTTTGACAACTCAGGTGCTGGCACTCCAGTAGCATCCTATTCAGTACAGATGGTACAACTCAACGGGATGTAAGTGTGTATCCACTATACAAAAGTGTGAAAACATAAGCAATCTTGGGCAAGACTCCCTTTTCTCATTCTAAAGCCTGAGAAACAAACTATGAAATAAACATGAAAGTATAAAGGGACAAAATTTTGCTATTCTAGGTGCTTAAATCATAGAATCACTTATTTTTCCAGAAACTCAATTTACTTGTCTACCTTCTGACAATGAGGACAGGGGAAGTTGTGTGTTGCTGTCTGTAAGTGATGCTCCAGGGCTTCTGGCGTGGAATATTTATTTACACATTTGACACACCTGAAGAAAGAAAGAAAGAAAGAAAGAAAGAAAGAGAGAGAGAGAGAGAGAGAGAGAGAGAGAGAGAGAGAGAGAGAGAGAGAGAGAGAGAGAGAAAGAAAGAAAGAAAGAAAGAAAGAAAGAAAGAAAGAAAGAAAGAAAGAAAGAAAGAAAGAAAGAAAGCATTAGTATGGCTGAAGTCTGCAGGCTAGCTATAGTTTCCTTACCCATATGCATTTGCAAAAAGCATTGTCAAAGAGGAAAACACTTAAGAGATCCTTATTATTATTATTATTATTATTATTATTATTATTATTATTATTACTTTAATTTATACCCCGCCCTTCTCCCGAGGGACTCAGGGCGGCTTACAGGTAAGTAAAAACAGAGCTATACAATAAATATCTAAAAGCCAAATTAAAATATATATTAAATAACCTGTATTAGAAAAATTATAAAATCCCTTTAAAATCCCTATCCTTGAAGCAAATTAAAATTTGCTGAAAAATTAACTAAATAATTGCCTGAAGTCTGGGTTCAAAATTATCAGATTTACCTGCAAAAGAGTGAAAGCTTATGGAATGGATTCTGAGGAGGAACCTATTTATCTTATACCTCTGGTATGCCATAAATAGAAAAAAATAATCTCTACATAAATATCAATGAATTATATTTTCTTAACTCTAGCAGGTTATACTCTCACAGTGGGGGTTTGATTTTGTTACTTTTTTAAAGAAAGGAAAGTACCAAATCATTCAACAGCAAATCCACAACACTGACTGCTCTCCCAACTGCAGTTTAAATGATTGCCCGATACTGACTGTTCTCCCAAACAGATTAAAAATATTACTATTTGCAGTGCTGCCATACTTGTAAACTGCCATGTCCTTCTTGGGGCTGTGTTGAGGGAGCAAGCTGTGGGAATATTGATGGACACCCAATTCATACAGAGAAGGATAGTCCTTGCTGCAGAGGTGGCAACGATAGCTCAGCTCTTCCTGGTGGTTCTTGATATGCTCTAAGAAAGAGTCCAGCTTTTGAAATGTCTGGGCACAACTTTTCACAACGCATTTGTACACCTGCACATTAATGGTAAGAAAAGAGAATTTAAATCGGCATTATCCTGTGCCACCAAAAGCAAACAAGCTGTATTGTACTCTCAGCATTAAATATATAAATGTAATTAAAGGTTCTTGTGAGATTGATGTACCCACTCACAGTGAAATCTATGTACTATGTCTCTAGACAATGAATTATTCTTCTCTTCTTCCAGCCAGCCTCTCCCAGAAGTTAGCAGTGAACCATTCAATTCTTCCTTATGGAGAAAAATACAAAGCTATTTCCCTGCGGAGGTTACACATTATGTCACTGCATGAGATTTGCCTCCAGATTTGCCTCTAGATTGCCTCCTTACAATAAGGAACCAAAGATATGGGCTGATACCGTCTAGCTTAGAATAGTTTCTACACAAACAATGGCTCTCTAGAATTTTGAGCAGAATTTTTGTTCTCTATCTCCTTAGAAATTCCAAGAATGAAAACTAGAATGTCCTGCAAGCAAAACATAGGTCAATGACTTACTGAATGTACTCAGAATAATAATTCATGCACACAAAAATGGAATTGTATGGTTCTTACACGGTGAAAAATATGAAGGTAGTATAACTGAAAAATGTATTTCAACTATCAGAGATCTGTGAATTAGGTTCCATGGAATTGCTTGTGTTGTTATCTAGAATATATTGTGTTATCTATTCAATACATATTTCTAAAGCTAAGTTAAAATATGCATAGGAGGAAATTCCTAGGCTGGATCAATGTGTCAAGAATACAGTTTGCATATATACAAATCACAATTTCCATACCTAGCATCAAAGAGCCTTTGTCAATCAGTGAGAAGCCAATTAAATTAAACAGAACATTACCTTCTCATAGAGCATTTTATATTTTAAACTGTATAGGTTAAAGAAAAAATAGCTGGCAAAATAGCCAACATTCTACATGTGAGTTTTGTAACCTATATAGATTGTGCAAATTTGGAAGTATGCATGCATTGGTCTCCAGCTCATGGAAAAGTGATAAAAAGCTAGGTGTGACAGAATGAAGCTATCTCATGATAAACTATCTACCTGTTCATGTTTATGCTGAGTCATGTGTGATTTCAGCTGGAAATATGTATTAAATTTGTTAGGACAGAACTGGCACTGATAAGAACTGTCTATCAAGACCACTTGCTTGGCTTCCAACTTTGCAGCGTCATGTTCTTCTCCAGGAGGCAGGGCTTGAGGCTGTGGAGGACTGCTTCTTGGAGCATGGTTTAAGCCTGAAGGAAAAGATACAGAACACAGAAATACTAGTTTCAGTTTCAAGCATTTTAAGAGAAATAAGCATTTCAAAAAGATTACAAACAAGATCAGCAAAATAGAATTAATATAAATCATTTTTCCAAGATGAAAAACTGTGGAAATTAGATTTCCTTCTTTGTGTGTCTTTGTATTTCATTCATTATAACTGACGATAAAACCTATGCTCAATTTCACTTTACAGTGAGAACTCCTGTCACCAATGTTACATATTATCTCCAGCATTGGAGGGATATGCTTGACAATGCCAGCTGCTAAAGAACACTAGATAAGGACTTTACTGTACTTGTGAACTCTTTTCAGGTGGCCCACTGATACCTATTTCATCGCTGTGGGAATAAATTGTGGACCAGATGATATGTTTTTAAAGTACTCCTCTCATATTCTCAAGCAATGAACAACTTAGCCCTTGGTAAAGTAGTACACTTGTTATGTGGGCACAGGAGATTAAAGTAGAACAAATATTCTCTAACACATAAGTTCATTTGGCACTGTCAGGCTTGTTTTGTCAGCTTTTGCCTTGGTGAGCCCAATCATAACTTAAAACAGTTTGGCCCTTACCAATCTCAATCAGAATAGAGCTGGAGAAGACCTTGGAGGTCTTCTAGTCCAGCCTCCTGCTCAAGCAGGAGTTCCTATATCATTTCAGACAAGTGGCTGTCCAGTCTCTTCTTAAAAACCTTGAGTGATGAAACATCCACAACGTCTGAAGGCAAGCTCTTCCACTGGTTCATTGTCCTCACTGTTAGGAAGTTTCTCCTTAATTCCAGGTTGCTTTTCTCCTTGATTAGTTTCCATCCATTGTTTCTTGTCTTGACTTCTGATGCTTTGGAAAATAAATGGATCCCCTCCACCTTGTGGCAGCCTCTCAGATACTGGAATACTGCTATCACGTCACCTCTAATCCTCCTTTTCTCTAGACTGGCCATTCCCAAATCCTGCAACCGTTCTTCATATGTTTTAGTCTCCAGGCCTTTAATCGTCTTAGTTGCTCTTCTTTGCACTTTTTCCAAAGTCTCAACATCTGTTTTGTAATGTGGTGACCAAAACTGGATGCAGTATTCCAGATGTGGGCTTACTAAGGCTTTATAAAGCGGTACTAATACTTCACGTGATTTTGATTCTATGCCTGTTTATACAACCAAGGATTGTATTCGCTTTTTTGGCTGCTGCCACACACTGCTGGCTCACATTTAAGTTATCGTCCACCAGGACTCCAAAGTCCCTCTAACAGTTATTGTTTTTGAGCCAGGTTTTACTAATCGGTACTTGTACCTTTGGTTTTTCCTGCCCAGGCATAAAACCTTGCTTTTCTCCACATTAAATATCATTTTGCTGGATAGGGCCCATTGTTCAAGTCTATCAAGACCTTTTTGGATTCTGAACTTGTCTTCTGGGGTGTTGGCTATTCTTCTTTTCATTGCCTATCAACCAGTTGGTATGTACAACTCAGGAAACAATCTTAGTCCAAGCAGTTACATTTACACAATATGCAAAAGGATTGATGTGCATGGATCATTGTAATTTCTTATGATCATCCAGAGCCAGTAACAGAGATGTTCAGGAAGTGAGTGATACCACATCCAAGCACTAGATGCACAGCTTCTGTTTCAGGAATATATCTAATGTGGGCTTTCCAATTTGTTGCTCTCCAGATTCCAATTCTCATAATTACTAACCAACATCATCTTCAGTTGGAGAAGGCCTGTCTAATGCAAAGCAATTATATCTAAAGGGTCATTTGGATATTCTCTTCTTGAGGATGACAGATTTTTAATATATATCTAATTTTAAGCTTAGACTATAGAAGGGAAAATCAGTATTACAGATTCCAGAAGTTAAGAAAAAATTTGCAAAAGGATTAAGAATTACAAGAGTATGAAACAATATTAAATGAAGGGCTATGACTGAGCAAGATCATCAACTGTATATCTGATTTATAGATTCACATGCTAGTACATACTTAAACTAACAGTAACCATAGTTATTTTTCTAACTCTAAATCTATAAAACAGAATAATAGAATAATAGAAGCACTATTATTCAGAGGTTTGGTGAAGCAGGTCCATATGATTGGCCATTCAAGCAGTTAATAATGCACCTGCATTTTCCTCATCCTCCTGCTGGTTGGGGTTGAGTTGCATGACTTGCACAGTGACAGAGCTCCGAGAGATGGTACACCCAATTCCTGGTGGCCACACCTTATGTGTCTGCATGTGCTTCTTCACATTGGATTTTTGCGCAAAAGCTCGACCACACACAATGCACTGGAATGGCTTCTCCCCGGTATGACTGAAGGAAAAATAGACACTACATCAGAGAAGAGGAATCACAATATCTCAACAGAGAGAAAACATATTACTAGTGCACTCGACTACAATCTTCACTGTGGTGGCTTCAGTCTGTTTTAGGATGTTTCCTCTCTCAGCATTCAGGGAGGAGACACAATCTTCTAAGTGAGCAAGTTAATCCATCATTTATGTATTTCATTTACTTTAACTCCCTGTATCCTTTAATACTGAACTTTTAATACCGAACAATTTTCCAGCTGGCTTATAACTACAATTAAGTTGCATTCCAAACTGCATATAGATAGGAATTTGCATGATTGGAAGGCTCTTTCACAAGCAACTTTTCTTACACAAGCAACTTACACATAAGAACCTTATCCCTTCAGGGAGGATAGATAAAAGACATCGTTTTGAGATGTATTTTTCCATGTGACAAGAATCTGCCTGGGGAAACATGACATCATACTAACTCTCATCTGCAGCCTAAAATGGTATACCTCTGTCTCTCTCCTACTGTAGTTCAGAGTTATGGGTCAAGCAGGCCATAATGGTTTATCCAATAATAATAAAACAAATCCTGCCTTAAAATTATGTGCAAAATGTTGTTATCACTTGAGACTCTGGAAGACCTGGTGGTTCAGCAATCAGGACCAAGATTTAAGTTTCACACATACACCATACAGAGACCAGTGTTCAACATTTGGGGGATCACACTGACCAAGCAGAGAGATGGCTTTATTTTCCATAGCTCTTGCCAGCAAGTAAGAATGGCTCCAATTGTTGCTCAGAATATCCAATCAAGTCCTTGGCCTGTCCAAACAGACACTGCTTCTGTCCGATTTTGGAAGCTCAACACTACCTCCTGATATGTTGCTGCAGATCAAAATTCTTGGTGAAGGCTTTATCACAGTATGTACATTTCAGTTTTGGTGACTTGGGCTTTCCTGAAATGCAAACAGCAAAAAACAAGCATGAATTTATGTCAAAAAAGACCATCCTGTTATGGATTCTTGTTTGTTTGTCCATTCTACCCATCAAATTAGAATTAAGTTTGAGGAAGGGAAGTGCAGCAGGGATTTTGAGTACATTTGCCTTATGGGAAGAACAGAATGAAAATAGTGGAGAAATCGAACAAAGTAACCTTATGTGGGAGGAATGTAAAACCATTATTTGCATTCTCTGTTATCATGGGACTTCCTGCTTTACATCTTGCGTTTACACCACATTAATTCAGACTGCATTCATCTTGGCAAGGAAAAGAGCTGCAACATTGGCTTCTCCTACCTATACTGGATTTTTCATATTTTCTGATGTCATGGGAAGGAATGGCACTGCAACATTTCCTACAACATCAGAACAATAGCTCAGCTTTCATGGGTTACAATGTTGTAGTCATCCATATTAGTGGATTACAATGAACGCACTGAAAAGTTAATACTGAACCAATATTCCAATAATGTGCAATACAAAATGACACTGAAAAACATAAATTTCTTGAGGTTTAAATGTGATTTCCTACAGGAACACAGATTTCTATTTTATAAATTTATAGCGACATCTATTCAACTTGATTTGTTAATTTGTTAATCAAAAAGAAAAAGAAAAACCCTGTCCTAAAAATAACCTGAATAACAAAATGAGCCCATTCAAGCATATCTGTTAGTTCCTTCTTTATAATGAGAACACAACAGCTACATGTTTGTGAACTTTATGAAATATGAAATGAACCAAAGTTTCACATTCCTATACCATCCAAAATATTTTTCATATTTTATTACATCTTCCAAATAAAGACAGTTTGTATATCGATTAGAGGCTAATGATGTGAATCTTTTATTTCACATGTTTCAGCATTGAATAGGAAATAATACATTAACAATTTTATATAGTTATAAAATAATGTGTTCTCGGGATTCTAATAACCAGTGTTTGGGTTATATGCCCTTCCAGAAGTTTATGGATTAAATGTTTATCATCCTCAATTATTATTTGCCATGTTAGCTTTGGGGTACAAGAATCACAGTCCAGGACTATATGGAGGATCATAGATTTCCCTTGACAATACGTCACCCAAGTCTTCCAGTGTCATGGACTCCACATTCTGTCTTACTTAAATGTAATTAAGACTACAGCAAGAATGAGTACCAAGAAGATTTACCTTCAAGCAAGTTATTGTCTGGTTTGGAACGACGGTTCTTGGAAGCAGAATCAAAATTGGTCAGATTTCCTCCGCATGTATTATTCAAGGAAGCAGCAGCATTGGCACTTTTAGACTTAAAGCTTTGTTTGCTTGGATTATATACTGGAGGGGAAGGATACACTGGGTTTTCCACACATTGGCTGGGCACCTGAAACAGAAATCAGTGATAACGTATCTGACAGAAAAATATAAATACAGGTAGTCCTCAACTTACAACAGTTCATTTAAACAGACCATTCAAAGTTACAACGGCACTGAAAAAAGTGACTTATGACCATTTTTCACATTTACCACCTTTCCAGCATCCCCATGATCATGTGATCAAAATTCAGATGCTTGGCAACTGTTTCATACTTATCACTGTTGCTGTGTCCCAAGGTCATGTGATCACCTTTTGCAACTTTCTGACAAAGCAGTCAATGGGGAAGCCAGATTCACTTAACAACCGTCTGTGTGACTAACTTAACAACTGAAGTGATTCACTTAACAACTGTGACAAGAAAGGTCATACAATGGGCCAAAACTCACTTAACAAGTGTCTCACTTAACAACAGAAATTTTGGGCTTAATTGTGGTTGTAGGTCGAGGACTGCCTGTAATTCAAAGCTCCATCATTTCTGATTCAGCATTCTGACAACCATGACTTTCCAACCATCACACAGAAGAGAAATAGGCTGTCTTGACTTCCATTGTCAGCTCAAAGTTTGGAAGTAGGAAGCAAAGCAAAGTTCTGTTGCTTACAGGTGAAAACAACAAACTCCTGCACTGCTTATACATTTGCATCGTCTTCTAGTATGGCCATGTGGAGAAACTGGTGCTAATCCTGTTTTTAACTAACTATAATTTGCTGTTTTGGATAAACATTGACAAACCTTAAATATAGTTACAGTAGTTAACATAAGTCAGTACCAGTTGCTTATTAAATTTAACTGCAGTTAGGTTTCAGATATCCTATACCAATCTTGCCAAATGTGGAGAACTTTCTCTGTGGTTAAAACATCATTTTCATTTCTTCTATATTATTTTTTTCTAATTATGCACAATCTAGATTTTCTAATCTATAATCTAATTGTAATCTACAATCTAATAGTTATGACCATTTAAATACAATTTCTGAATAAGAGCCTTCTGAAATTTCTTATCCAGCCTCAATACTGAGTCTGTACAGTAAATCTGTAAGCTCTACCTCTTGAAAGTCAGATTCTTTAATACCTGACTTAGCTTTGGCATTCCAGGACACATTGTTACATTTATTTGTGTTAAGTATTATTATCTTACTTCTCTATTCAACAATCATTCAAACGTCCATGGACAAATTCCTATGACACCTGTAGGTCAATATATAATATTCCTCCTTCTGGTCATGTGCAGCCCAGCAGACTATATTTAAGTAATACTTATCTCTCAGTTTAGACAATCTGTATAGAACATAAATAAATTTCCTTCTTTCAGAGACTGGGAACTATTTCACAACCATTTTCCTTAGGAAGAAAATTATCATCTATTAAAATTATCATCTATTAAGGCTATTATCATCTATAAGGCTGTCAGCCGCCCTGAGTCCGGTAAGGAGAAGGGCGGGATATAAATCGAATAAATAAATAAAATAAATAAAAAATCATCTATTATAATATAACCTTGTGCATTTAGCTATGCCACTTTCTGAAAACCAACAAAAATGGTATTTTGAGGCTGAGTAAAATCAGAGTCAGTATCATTTTACCAAGGCCCATGAGACCATGTAATTGCCACAAGGGAGAACATAATCACTAAGACAGGCAGCCATTTTTACCTCCAAAGGTGGATACGGCTGCATCCCCAGATTCTGTATTTCTACCGTCCCATTCCCAGACATGGAAGTAGATGTATTGTAGACTTCTGCTACTCCACTGCTACCTGCACTGGCCGGGCCTGGCACTCCAAGGGTTCGAGGTTGTGGAGGGGGTGGTTGAGGGGGTGGAGGGGGGGGTGGAGGCTGAGAGAGGTATCCTGCTCCAGGATGCATATTCAAGCTGCTCTAAAAACAAAAATCAGAAATTAGTCTTCCTTCCTTCCTTCCTTCCTTCCTTCCTTCCTTCCTTCCTTCCTTCCTTCTCTTCCTCTCTTTGGTCCATGAATATGAACAATATTTTCAAAAAGATTTTAAGCTTCCTAATATAACCAATATCAATACCCATGTATTTCTGCGTACTAGCAAAATAAAACTGTCATGATAAAGTTCATGTATATGCAAATCATAGTTTACATTTATTTAATAATGTAGGGATCTCTTCTAAGGAACAACTGTATCCATTTACATTTTCAACATAACAATATTATTACATCAAAGAAACTGAACCACAAAGATAAAAAAATGCCTCAAGTCAAGGTCAACCCCTGCTCTCTAGATAGATAGATAGACAGACAGACAGACAGACAGACAGACAGACAGACAGACAGACAGACAGACAGACAGACAGACAGACAGACAGATAGATAGATGATAGATAGATAGATGATAGAGAGAGAGAGAGAGAGAGAGAGAGAGAGAGAGAGAGAGAGAGAGAGAGAGAGAGAGAGACTGTATAGATATAGATTTCTTAGCAACATTAACACAATCCTATGAATGAATGAATGGTGAATACATGGATGGTTTAAAATATGTCCATTTTATTTTATGTGTGTGCCTGCCCTGTGCTTCAAATTATATTTTGCCCTTCAGATTGCTGTCCAGTCCTACTACACAATATTACGCATACGGTATGTTGTCATCAGACATTAAACATTCATTTACAATATACTTATTAATTTTTGTTTTTATAGCATATTCCATTTGTCAGAGCTTGTGTATGCCTTAAATGGCACAGAAAAAAAAATTACCTGCACAGTGGGTTGCACTGTGGACATTGGCTGGTCCAGGGTTGTGAAAGCAGACATGGCTGACATCAAAACCTCATCGCTCACTAAGATATTCCCTTGGACTAGTGTTTGGATCAAAGGAGAGGGTGGAACAGTAATATATGTAGAGATCTGCTGAGCAAAATGGATAAAATAAAATCTTACATTGGATATTCGGCAAGACATTTTTCAGAAAATTCTTGGGGATGACATAGAAACAAAGTAAAACAACTCATTCAGTGTAACTACTCCCTGTAAGAAATTATGTAGTAAAAGTCAAAATTCTGTGAATAAACCTCTTCTGTATTAATTATGTAGCATGGCAAAAAGGGTAAAACATTGTTCAGCTAGCAATTAAGTCATTAAACAGGAGGAAATCTGGTTTTTATTTCAGATATGCTATTGCAGCCTTCCCAAACTTAAACTCTAAGCCCACCCATTCTAGATGTTACACCAGCTTGAACTCGGCTACCTCCACTGCCAATCCCCATACTGAGTCCGCTACCTCTGTTTTACATCACTACAGTCCCCAACTCCTGGGCCGTGGCCCACTACCGGGACGCAATCTGTTCGGAACAGGGCCGCACAAGCGGCGGGCAAGCATGCATGTACATGCATGCCTGCCACTCACACAGAACCATCCCCTCTTCCCCCCCCCCGCCAGTCTGCCAAGCCAGAAAGGTTGGGGACCATTGCTCTTAAGGTAATCAATGACAACCAATAACAGGTTTTACACATGCTGAGATTGACTTTGGAATATAAGAGGAAACACTTGCATATTTAGTACACAGGTATGCTTAGGTATAACTGGTGACCCAGCCACAAAAAGCTCCAGCATTCAGCATCTCTACCTGACGATTGGTGGTCTGAGCCTGCTGTACTGAGGTAATGGACGGAGTATAAACACTGTTAGTAGCTAAGGAGACTGTAGCCAGTGAGGGGGCATGGCCTTGACACTGTTCCCGCTTATGAGTCATGAATGCTGGCAATGAGTTGAATTGCTTCTTACATTTCCCACAGAGAAATACATCTTCGTCATCTGAAATCAGGGAAAGAAAAAAAAAAATTTATTTAACCTCAAAGACTTCCTCCGAAGAAGACACCAAGTTTCAGCAGAACAAAGTGATAAGAAATTATTAACTAAAAATTGTCCCTCTGGAGTTGGGAGAATCCTTAGCTTTCTCACAGCACATCCCATCTGACGTCCCCAATGTGTGACTATTCATTTAGCAACTATTCAAAGTTATGACGGTGCCTGGGAAAAAAGTGGCTTACAATCCATTCCTTGCACTTACAACCGCTGCACTGTCCCCACAGTCTCATGGTTGCAATTTGGACGCTTGGCAACAAACATGTCTTAGTGGCATTGCAGCATCTGGGGAAGTCAGCAGGGAAAGTTGGCAATCATGTGCTGTCTCACTTAAGTATCATAGCATGAAAAGACTGTTTCAGAAAAGGCTACACTCCCCAAAACAGTCAAATTTGTAGACTGGACATCCATTTAGATTCATCTCTATCACTACAGGCTCAGGTATACATAATGCCTTTCATTGGCCAAAATTGGTACAATAGCTATGATCCTACTAAAATATAGTCTCATATCAATAAACCATGCTTGGTTAATCTCTCATCTAGATTGCCATAATCCATTATATATTGGATTGTCTCTGAAAACCATCCAGAAACTTCAGTTATCATCAAATTTGGCAGTAAGAGTACTGAATGGAATTGGATGTTATAACCATATTATACCAGTTTTATGCCATCTTTACTTGGCCTCAATTTTTTTCTGATTGCAGTTGAAGAGATAAATATTAACCTCTAAGGTCCTGCATGGTATTTGAACAGAACTCCAACTGGTATGATTTTAGCTATACATGATGCCTGAGTGTGGCAGGTAATTTCTCAGATGTGGGCCTTCTCAGTGCTAATCCTCCAACTCTGAAATGCTCTAGAGCCTATTTTATTGTCAACACTATGCAATAACCTTTTTAATTGTCACAGGTCTTCATGATAGCATATTATAATACTATGAACTACTCAGAACCTTTTTGGAATTGAGCAGCATATAAATTGCAGAAATAAATTTGAATTGGATATGCTACACAGACGTTATTTAATAGTATTTTTAATTATGTTTTTATATAATGTCTTTGTGTGTTTGTTTTTAAAACAATTGCTAACTGTCCTGGGAAAACAGTATCCTGAATCAGCAATCATATATGTCTATTTAAAAAATAAAGGTATAGTGAGAACAAAACCAAATAAAGTGATATCTTATGCTAAATGAATTTATGTTAATGGCAGCAAGGTGATAATACATAGCAAATTAACTTCCCTACTACAATTTTTTGCACAGCTAGTGAATATAAAATGGTTTCATTAATATTGTTTCAGGATCATATAACTCTTTGAATACAAGGGATAAAGAATAAAGTAGTAGTGCATGCATACACTCACAGACACACTGGAACCAATTACTGTGTTACTGCACATCACAAGAAGCAACAAAGAAGTCCCAATGCAAGACTCACCCATGGACTGGATGGATGAAGATGTGTTGACTGTCTGTGATGATGGATCTGTAACACCTCCTTGGCCATCTAACAAGGACTGAACAGCTAGCACTGTCTGATTATCCATTCCTGGAAGGAATAGAAATGGCAATCAGAAGATCTGTATTCCTTCCAGGGACAAAAATTATGAAAAATTGACTGTGATAAAACCTATTTCGGCACATTAACTTCCATGTTATTTCCAGTTTTCTTACAATGTAGGGATCTTTATTAACTCAAGTACTGTACTTAATCAATTCAGATCACAAACATATGTGTTATGTTTACAATTGTCTGGTCACACAAACACACACACTCCATTACTTGACAAAATTGCCACCTCTTTACATTTGATTAGGTAGGATCTTCTTTCTCTTCCTGGTTCCAAGGTGCCACTCTGGACTTTCAGGAACCTGGCCTTACAGCTCAGTTCTTTTTTCTTTTACCTTTGTGAAAGTTTGATGGCTTTTAACTACTGTAATATAGTTTGAAACTGCAAATTAGCCAATATCTTAATAACATCATGCTTCAAGATAATATAGGAGACTGTAGTAATAATCCCTAATTCCACTCCTTCCCTCCTCCTCCTCCTCCTCCTCCATCCATAATCTGTAGTAATTACCTCTCTTGTCATGTAAGCTCTTTCTCATCACCTCCAATAAAAGTATCTTGATTATAATGTTGGTATAAATATTATGTATGTATTTTAAATACACTAAATGCTTTTCCAGAATGAAACTGTGTTTGGGTTAACTATAGTTGGAAAGGAGCTGTAAATTCATACATAAGTTATATGTGATGTATATGCAAGTGTTCAGACAAGAAAATTTGTCATAATCCTCCTAAACAAAAGATGAAGATCCAGAAAAAAGGAACCTTAGTTACTTTCTATTCTACCAGATAGAGATTTGGAATACATATGTGTTATATATTAGTGCCATGTAGAAAGGTTCTGTCATTTTTCTACCAACTGGCCGTCAATTTGATCAAAAGGAAATTACCACTGATATTTTTTAAAAGATGGTGGAAGCAGTAGTCTCTGCTAGCTCAAAGAACAAAATAAACTCAGAGGGAGAAAATCAAAATGAGCCCTGTATCCTAAGAATTAGATAGAAAAACTGTCTCAAAAACTTCTTTTTTAAAAGAAGATAATTTTAAGAACATCATAAGATAGATTTTGAAATAGCTTGAGGGCATCTTGTGTCCAATATTATTACTAGCTATTCTAAGCCTCAAAGATGCACTTAGTAAAGAGACAAGATTTCCAATAAAGTGAAGCAGCACTTTCAGTTCTTAAATTGTCGATGTTGAGGTAACACATGTTTTTTCAAGTTGAGACAGGCCTCATATCAAACTGTTCCAAAATAAGAATGTTTTGCACAGATCCAATCATTGTTTGGATAGTGGTTTATTCTTTGGTATTAATTTAATCAATGGTTTGTGTCAGATTTCACTATACAGAACATGGAACCACCAACTTTCAAACCTAAAAGTGACAAGGAGTTTTTATAGACCAGAGTATGGGATCTAGTAATTGTTTCTTTTTATACAATACTTAAAGGATTAGCACACTTTTCTGAAAGACTTGTGATATGACAGCCCACTAAACTGTTTCACTGCTGTAATATCACATGCCACATCAACTGCAAAATCACCCGCCAATGGTTGAATTTACTTGTCAGACTAGGCTAAATATTTATCTGGCTTATGTTTCAATGGCCTGGGCAATAGGGCCTAGTAAATAAACAATAAGTAAAAGAAATTACTGTTCAACACAACATACAAAACCTTGGGTTTCTTCCAGACAAACATGATACAATTGCTGTTTTAGAGCATTTTCAGAAGACATAATAAATTTAAGTGGCTGCATTCACACAACAATGGAAACAGAACCTAAACTAGCCACATTAGTCGGTCCTGAGATGTGTAAATCATGTAACCAATAGATGTTCTTTTAAATTATATAACATTGTGGAAAAGGATCCAGTTGGCCAAAATAGACAGGGAGCTGCATTACACAGATTGCTGATCCAACTCATCAGGGATTATTCTTCTTAAACGTTCAGTTTTTACAGAAGCATACCGTATCTTAAAGTTTGATGCAGTTAGGGGGAGGGAATGTAATTTGCAACCAGGAAACATTTTCAATTTTGAACTGCCACTGCAGGTAGCAACTGCATTTGCATTTGTAAAAAATAGCCTTAGCGGCAGCGGTTTTCACAAATGTACGTGCCCAGACTTTAATGGCACACTAATAACTACGATGCAATTCTTCCAGGGAACGGTGGCGATGTTACACAAGCTGCATTATTCAAGAATCTAGCAAAGGCACCTTTAGAGGTAAAAGGGACTCTCACAGAGAGAAAATTAAAGCAACAAATGCCCTTTGAGGGGAATTTGCAAAAGCGGAGGTAGCAATGACAGAGCCACCGTCCCTTCTTCCTTTGGGAACAATATCCAGGAGGACCCGAGCCGCCTGCTTGCTTTTCGTCCCTTGCCAAGATTTGGCTCCTCCGGGATTTATCGGGCGAAACAAACCCGCGCACGCAGATCGCCGGATGGTGCGATTACTCTCCAAGACAGACACTGAACAGTGGCTGTTCCAGGAACCCTCCCTCAGCGCCAGAGATGGCTTAAGGCGGCACCGCCGCCTTCTCAGCCCCCGTCCCATCCACAACGGCGGGAGGGAGGCGCCCAGCGTGGAATAGCCGCGCTTTTTTTTTTTTTAATGGACTTTCCCCGCCGCGAGGCCTCAACCCGCCCGGCTCCCCGAGATATACCTTCCAGCGCCTCGAATATCGCCTGCGCCATCTTGAAGCTGAGGCAGCCACAACAGAACAACTTAAACGGGCATTATGGGAAGACGAAGGAGGGTCGTTCCTCCGCTAGGGGGAGCGCGAGGCGACAAGGTGGGGAGGGGAGGCTGGCTCAGGGAATAGCCTTGCTGTGGGGAAGCCGATACCTATCTGGAAGGGGCGGAGCTTCCTGGCCGTAGTGTTGACAAGAGGGGTTACTGCTGCGGTGTCCCAATCTGTGAGTCGGCTTCTTCAGGGAGGGGAGGAACCGAAATTATCTTTTAATTTATATAGAAGAAATATCAGAGTTTCTTCAGGAACCCCTAGAGCAAAAAGGAGAACAAAGGAAAAACTGCATTTTGAAAGCTGAGCTTAGAGACAACCTTGTTCTTTGTTCGGGTTGGCTAGAGGAAAAGTTGTATTTGAATAGGATTTCCCAAGGCTGGACCATCTGTCCAGATTTTGAGGACTTCCATGCCTCTTCATCCATTCCTCCTTTTTGCATCATCTTGCGTGACTCATACATTTGGAGAACCTGAAAGTTTCTATGATGTTTTGTACTTTTTTACCTTTACCTTTTATATTAGTCCTAATAAAGGTATTATTCAACTATGGATTTGGATGTGCATTCAGCAGGACCTATGTGCAGCCTAAAGGTTATTGCAGAAGAACATAATATTGGATGCTTATGTATTTTGTTTAATGTTCAGACTCAGCCACCAAAGGCAGGTGTAGAGTAATAGAGTTGTGTTGCCGCTTTCTGCCAGACATTTAGCCACAACCAAAACTCCCTTTCATTATGGGAGTAATTTTCTGAAAGCATCCAGAACATTTTCCCAAAATTTCAGATATGCTCACCAACCCTAAATGATGCTCATCAGCCTAGCTTTCAGCCATGGAGTTCATGATATTTCAGAACCACTGTAAGACAATATTCCAAGTTCTACTTGCCTCAACAATGGCATCTGTCGGAAGGGAGCCAGCCCTGAAAAGAAATCCAAGCGTTAAGGAGCAATGGGGAAACTATCTTTGTGAATAACACTGATGAGAATCAGAAAGCAGATTAAATTCCTTTCAGAAAATAGTAATACACCTTACCAAAGCAAAGACTACATTTTGATGTCGCAGTTGGCATGACTTATTAATAAATAACATATTGACCCAGCAGGAACTATTAATGTCTTTGTGATCTATCAGAGGGGAGGCCAATACAACGATCTCTCTTGACTTAAATCCATAAAGTAATTCAGCCTTATGATCAAGAGATCCTAGGAAATTCAGTAAATCAGTGTAGGATCTGTGTTTTGTCCAATCTATACTCCATTTTTTCCTCCAGCCTTTATAATGCCTTTTGACTAATCGTACTAAAAAAACCTTTTCATCAGATTGATTAATTTATCAACTAATGGAGGTTAATCCACCGGGGGGGGCACTCCTAACTTGGGAGGAATTTAGGGGCTCACTCTATCCTGTCAAAACACATTTTGCTTGGAAAGCTTTCTCAAGCCAACATCAAAGGATTCCACTTGTTCGCCACAAATACTTGATTGGCAGGAAAAGCAGTTTAACTAATATCCTATTTTCATATAAACTACCTGTTTACTTTTAACACCATTTTGTTTAAAGGGTGAAAATGAAACGCATAAATTAAAAACCAGGAAATAAAGTAAATTATAAAGCAAAGAGAGGAATTTGTGTTGTTTTTCATTCAGGTTATCTCTAGTAAAATAATATTTTTAAGCTTTTTAAAACAAAACTGCTACAAATAAAAATATGAAAACATTAAAAAGGAAGTCTCTGGAATTAACTAAACCACTGGTTAATTTCATGGAGAAAAAAATCAGGAGTCTGGTAGCACCATTTCCACCATTTTTTTTATTAAAAGTCATAACACACTTCCATATAGTTTTCTGTATTGTTGCAATTTGGTCTGGCTCTTAAACGACCGACTTCACGCCTTCTTTTAAAGATGCAGGCATAGAGAGAAGCTGTTTCCGCTTGAATAGCCGGGAAAAGAAAAGTTATAATTATAGGACGGTACATTTTGCTTTCTCTATAATTTAAGACTCAAGTCTTCGGGCGAGCTTATAAAACTAGGGCGGAACCAAAGTTCGGGGGTTGGTTTTCCGCTTGAACATTATTTCCTGAAGCTCTGCTTCTATGCCTTTTGTGTTTCAGTCAAGTTGTTTTCCCAGATTGACCGGCTGCTAGATCGTAAGCGTCAAGTCTGAGGCAATGGGTGATCGGACAATTCTCAAGACTTTGCTCTATACCGTCAATTCTCTCTTGCAGCAGCGGAGATATCAGACCACGCTGGCGCTGCTCAAGGGCTTCCGCAACGGAGCGGTGTAAGTTTGAGCTGGGAGCCCTGCTTCTTCCGCATTTCTGTTCCGAAATTATCGCCGAAGGGTCCTCTTGGTATCACGGACGAGCGTTCACACCGATTTCACGAAGACTTTAGTGGGAGGAAGCAGATTTTTGTTTATAGGTGTTAAGTGACGTTTTGTGGGGGCAAATATAAGGTTTTAATCTAATGGCGGGTTCTCCCAATCTTCTGTAAATAAGGTTTCAAAGTACATAAGCTAAGTTAAATGACCGATCAGACTGTCAGCCTGGGGCAATTTAAATAGTTTAAAGTGGCCCTGGCTATTTAGATCTCAGAACATTTGCTTCTTCTGCTTTATCGGCATTTCATTTCGGTCGTCTTCAAAGAAGTATTACTAACGAAGTGATAATATGTCTGCTATTAGATTGAGTTTTCATTTCTTTTTAGAGGACAGTATTGGTTCAGTATATACCATATTATGCTAAAACGTTGTAGAACCAAATATAAACGCACAGAACAACAGTGAGCTTAGGTGATGCCTTCTAAGGTCTGGGTACACCTGGATTTCATTTTTAATCATTCAGACTTAATGCTTACCGATAAATCCTTTTTTGTTTTCTTCTTGAATAGATGTCTCCAAACTCCATTCGTTCAACTATCATTCTAATAAAGCAATTGTTATTCTATACATTGTCTAGTAGTTACCTATCTCAGCTCCTGTAACATTGTGCTAGATATTTTAAAATCATCTCTGGTGTTAAGAGTGAAGTTTCTTTTCTAGTGGGTGGAACTTTGAAACGAACTCTGTGGTTCTCTTATGAACAAGATTATCTTCCTGTTCTTGGCTGTTTTTATATTTTCAAAGCATTAGATATTATTTCCCCAATAATAATAATGATTATTCAAAGAAGGGAAAAGTGAGGAAGAGGTTTCAGAACATCAAGAATATTGCTTCAGTGATACACTAAATCTGAGTATTCAGATTTATATGTCTTAGGCAAGCATATTAAGTCTTTCAGTATAGAACAAACCCAACCTGTTTGTGCAATTTATATCTCAATATACATGGCAAAGGAGTTGTGAAAGATACTATTTATCATCCAAGACCTGTATTCCCATATTCTGCTGTTTCTAAATTACATAAAGCAATAATTGCATTTAAACATATATTAAACCTCATTTTACTGACAATTTTATGCATTTTCTTTATTTTTGGCAGTTATGGAGTAAAAATCCGTGCCCCTCATGCTTTGGTAATGACATTTCTCTTCAAAAGTGGAAGGTACATTTCTCAGAGCATCTGTCACATACAGAATAAAGCCATAGAAGTTGAAGTTATTTGTGTGCATGCTGTTTAAAATACAGGTAGTCCTTCACTTATGACCATTAGTTTAGCGACATTACTGGAAATAGTGACTTATAACTGGTACTCTTATAACCGTCATAGCCACTTACAACCATCCCCACACTCCCATGATCAAAATTTGGGTGCTTGCAACCGACATGTATTTATGATGGTTGCAGTGTCCCGGGGTTATTTGACTGTCATTTGCAATCTTCATTTGCAGAAGTCGGCTTCCAACAAGCAAAGTCAATGGGGGAAATGGCTTCACTTAACAACCGTATGAGTCACTTAACAAGTGCAGTGGTTTGCTTAACAACTGTGGCAAAAAAGGTCATAAAATTGGGCATGACTCAAGAAGCACCCTGTTTAGCAATGGAAATTATGATCTCAATTGTGACTGTAAGTCAAGAGCTACCTGTAGTCTTTCAGTACACATTGTGTTTTCTTCTCTGCATTCTTACTATTTCTGTTTGGATGTTTTTCAATGAATTAAATATATTAGGACAGAAAAAGAAGTGATTGTCTTGTATTAGATTAATAATACTCTTTGTACTTTTTTTACTTAAATAAGACTATTAGTAATATGTTTAATACTGTTATGTGGATCCATAGAAACAATATTTTCTAGGAAATCAAGGTGGGTTTATGATGGCAATCTAACAGTACAATTTTGCATATATCGTGTTTCCACGAAAATAAGACTGGGTCTTGTATTAATTTTTGCTTCAAAAGATGCATTAGGGCTTATTTTCCGGTTAGGGCTTATATTCGGGGAAATACAGTACTAAATGCATCTGTATGGCTGACTATCTTAACTGGGGGTTATTTTGGGGGTGGGGCTAATATTACCAGCATCCTGAAAAATCATGCTAGGGCTTATTTTCCAGTTGGGTCTTATTTTCGGGGAAACACAGTATATTCTCAAGCAAGTTTCATTATGTCCAATGCAGTTTATGCTGCTATCCTATCAGCCCTTAATGTTGAAGTATCACTGCAATCTTATCCATTGTTGTGACTCTGTAGTTGAAGACTCATTAATTTATAGATGTTCTCCTGAATAAATGTAATAGAATTGAGCTAGTAGATATCAGTTTGAATTTCCTTCTTTGAATTTTTTAATAATTTTAACAATCTTACAGTCATGTCAGATTTAACTTCACTGCCACTCTTTGCATGTTAATTCACAAACTATAAATGTTTTTAAAAGTGCCACAAACTATAAAAAATTGACTACATCTCTACATTGACTAGAAAACACATTCATGCTCTTTTTATTAGAAACAGGTTCACTTATGTAGCTTTAGTTTTCTAATATTTTCTGAAAGTGAAATGAAGATCATTGTTACTTTTTAATGTACATCAGAAGCAATGACCAATAAATATTATAACTGATTTATAATATTTTAATGGAAATAACATTATGTGTAATAATTGTTCATTGTTTCTTCCTTTCAGCCTAAAGGAAAAATTGAAAGCAATTCTTCAAGCTACCTATCTTCATTCCAGAACCCTGGCCTGTTTTGTATTCACTTATAAGGGTTTAATGGCCATGCAGTCACGAATACAAGGAACGAAGGTTCCATTTCAGTCTTTCCTCGCAGCCTTCATTGGGGGCTGGTTACTGTTTGGGGAAAATAATAATATTAACAGCCAGGTAAGCAACTGTGTTGTTTTGTGTTAGATTTATGGTTCTATTGATCTAATGAAGAATGAAAGGGAAATTAGGGAATTTTAGTAAATTGTTCCATCACATTCTTCCATTATTATTTTCTATATATCTGCTGCAAATGGGGTAGTGAATTTATCTGAATACAATTCTTCTGCATTTTTCTTTCACTGTAGCAAATTGTAAGAAAGGGATTAGTAATCATAATTTGTTAAGTTTGTATGCTGCCCAATTCTCAATTACTCTGGATGGATCACAATAATCACATTACAAGAACATTAATAAAAGATAGAAGGCAGCAAGTAGAAAGAAGTGAGGGGGTCTCACTTTCCTGTGCCAAAAGCTTGGGGGAAGAGCCAAGGCTCCACAGCTCATATAAACAATAATAGACTGGGGTCCCTTTGGGTCTTGGAGACAACCTTATTCTTATAAAGGATATCTGCTATCTATTTGATAACCACACTCAGTGAAGATTTTAACAAAAGGAAGTATTGTTATTCAAATGGTAAACCCATTTAGATAAGCATATTTCTTCTAGGAGGAAAACCTTTTATTTGGTAAGTTACAATCTATACTTCACAGTGATAGATAATTGTAGCAGAAGAATGCCTATCCATGTTGATTTTTCACTCTGAAATTAAAAAAAATATATCCAGGTATACTTTAGATGCTTTTTAGGAAATGTATTTTTCACACAGATGCATTTCTTTTGAAACCAGTCTTCATGCAACTGGGAAAGGATTGATTTACACCTGATTTTTCTAACATTAGATTTAGGAATAGATGTAAATTGTTGCTGAACCTTATTAAAATTCAAGCAGTCTGGTTAAAATTAGAGACTGATCTTGATATGAAAGAATTTGATGATCTCCTAAATTGAAAGTTGTTTAAGTAATCTGATTTTCTTGTTGGGCTAATTACCTAATTTTAATTCAGGGTTTGTTTTTTTTCTTAACAGATAAATATGTACCTATTATCTCGAATCCTGTTTGGCTTGTCTCGATTGGCAATAGAGAAAGGTTATATCCCACAGCCCAAACAAGATCCCTTCCCACTTTTTGCTGCTCTGGTTTGGGGGATTGTTCTTTGGCTCTTTGAGTATCACCGGCACACTCTACAACCATCACTGCAATCATCCATGACCTACCTATATGATGACAGTAATGTTTGGCATGATATTTCTGACTTCCTTGTACATAATAAAAGATCTACTATCAAATAATCCTGACAAGTCTTTGGATAATAACACATTCCAAGGGCAATTAAAAAGATGTATATCTGAACATCCTTTTCAATACTGAACATTTATTTATACTAACATTGGATATAAATGTCTATTTGAAGTCTGTCCACAATGTTTGGTATAGATTGCTGATTTCTGCTGATTAGAGTTTGAAACAGCATTTTACAAGCAAAATATTTTATTCCTTTTTTCTTCAAGATACCCAGTTTCCCCTTCTATGCTATCAGCTGAGGAAAATATCTCTTCATTGTTTTAAAATCAAGAAATATGAATTAAATGTTAAAGTTGAAGGATCAGATGACATGAGTAACTTTTTTGCAACTAGGTACACAATGTCATCTACAATATCTTCAGCAACAAAAGAAATAACTAAATTTTATGCATGATGGATATCATTTGATATTGCTTTTTGTCTGTAGTTATGGTACTTGGTAGTGTTATTGCTTCTGTTTTGTTTATCCATGCCTCTTTTCTAGGTTATAAGGGCAGATAACATATCAAACAAATTTTAAAGATTTTTTTTAATATGGACTTTTTAAATTCAGTTGCATAAATATGACACAAAAATGGATTTGTTTAAGAACACCATCTTACAAAATGCTTAAGATTTAGTAACATTAACAAATAGAGGAAAATGAAGTTTTATTTCTTGGGTTTCTAAAACAAAACAAGAGTAAATAGTATGGTGAACATAGGGGCAAAACTGTGAATACTAAAAAACGTTTCCTTGATTGAAGCTCTTCTAGATGGAAAATGATGCAGTCATGCATAGCTAGAACTGTTGTTGTAGTTGTCAAACTTTGATCATACAGTCAACAGATAGAATTTTGTTTAACAATCCACCAAAAGTGCCAAATGGAGTATTAGATTTTATCTCATTGTTTTATTAATGAATGCAGATAACTGTATTGAGTCTTTTTTAATTAATTTATTTATTGTTGAACAAATTTATATAGTCACCTGACACGCACATAGTGACTCTAGGCAGTGTATAACTTTAAAAATCCACATTTAAAAAAAACAACACCCTAGTGGAGCAACAACAGAATCAGATAAGCCAATTGACTGGGGGTCCCCCAGCCCGCTGACAAAACATGTCTTCATGTAGAAAAGCAACAGGGTAGAGGCCAATCTTATCTCTGGAGGAATGATGTTCCAAATATTTATAGTCCAATCATGTGAACTGACTAAAGCTAGTCTTCCTTAGTCTTTTCCAGTCTTGTACATATGCACAGAAAAGCAATGTGGATTTTTTATTTTAAAAGAACAAAAAATGGGACTTATAGATGAAATAGAAGATCTTGCAAAATTCATTTGCATAGCAAGCATAGATCTCCCAAAATGTTAATTTATTTTCATAATTTCATTTCTGTATCATGAATACTACACTCAGTGGCTTCATGCACTGCATGCATGTACACACACACACTACTGCTACTAAAAAGCAATGAGGGTAGTGAAGAATCTGTTTTTAAACCCAATTAAACAAATTGAAGCAGCTTTTTTTAACTGAAGAAAATAAATGTACTTTTGTATGTGCTGGAGTATTATTTGAAACAGGATGCTTAATAGGACCTTGGTTAAAAAAACAAAATAAGACTGATTATAAGGCATTAAAATTATTGGTTATGCTGTTGCCTGAGTTTTGATTTATTGTTGAAAACTTGCTTATGGTAATACCCACACATACATACAAACACACACGCATTTGTATTTAATTTATAGGACTATAATACTGCTGTGGCTTGTTAATTCTTTTATCACATTTTGCTTTGCTTGTTTGATATATTTGTTACCTTGCACCATTAAGTGTCTGTCCTCATCAGATAATCTGTGGAAATCTATTGCCTTCTTTCTGAATTCCTCCCATACAAATGTTTGAAAGCCACCATACCAAAATCACTATCACATCATGTTTTATGTTCAAAGGAATAAATACCAATCTGCTTCAGAATATTATTGATATTTCAGGCAATATCTGCCCTAAGCTTTTATTGGTTCTCTTCTTGTATTGCTTTCATGCAATGACACCTGCTGCCTTCTCCCTAAACAATGGGCAGTATTTCTTCTAAAAGTTGAAGGATCAGCATATTTTTAACTAGTACTTCAAATAGATTTTAGATTTGTCTGCGTTTTTTTGGGGGCTGCAGTCATCAAATAGTAATATTGAGCTTCTTTCTTTTTTTAAGCATATTGTTTTAAGACCCTGTCTGAACTGACAAAGCACAGGACTGTAAAGCAAATCATATGTGATCACTCCACTACTGTTCCTATAGCTTACAGATGAGGTCGAATCCCTTCTGCCACTAATGTGACTGAACAATGCTGGTGTGTGCTAGGGAAGTGAACTAGAAGTAATGGGTCGGTCCAAAGACTCTTGGATACATAAGTTCCATTCCTCACTCTTTCAAATTGTATTGTTTAGCAAGCTAAGCATTCTGTTTGGTTTTCATGCTAATAAGAAAGAAACACAAAAAGAATAAGGCGACCGTTTGAAAATCCAGCTCCCAGGCAGCCTGTCCCATCAAAATTAACCAAGTACCCACTATCTCGGCCCTGAAGATCAAAACAGATGCATATCTGAATTGTGTTAAAAGCAGCTCAGCAGAGGTTTTACACAGAGGACGTTTTAACAGGAGATCTTGATTCTTGATCTGAGAAAATACTCATCCTTAATATGCCCTGATGTTATTAGGCCTGAAAAGTGTTTCCAAAAAATAATAAAATAATACAAAAAGTATCAATGCTATATTGATACTATATAAATTGAATGCATTCTTTATACTATATAAACTGAATGAAATAGATGTAGAAATGCTGTAGAAAAAATGCCTTTTTTAAAAAAAATAAGTAAATGAGGAAGATTGGAATAGGTCATTGTCCTAATTTGAATAGGAAAGTACAATGCCCTACATCAGTAGTGGTGAACATATGGCACGCGTGCCAGAGGCGGCACTTGGAGCCCTTTCTGTGGGCACACGTGCCGTTGCCCCAGCCTCGCCTCCCCCATGACCCCGTCCTCACCAGCAGCCCCCCTGGAGGAGAGTCGCCCCGAGCGTGACCCACACGGAGCAGCGAAGCCAAGGACATGGCAGCCAGGCAGCGTGGACAAGACTCTGCCCTCACGCCTCATTGCGCACAGTTGATGCTGCGGGGGGGCGGGCAGAGGGCATGGCCGCCATGGCGCTGCTGGGCTGCCTGGGCGATCTGCGGCGGGCCCTGGAGGCAGTGAGTGGCGCTGTGGGCAGGCGGGGTGGGGGACGGGGGGCGGAGCAGGGAGTTGAGCAGAGGCGGGGCCAGTTTTTGGGCACTCGGTCTCTAAAAGGTTCGCCATCACTGCCCTACATAATTCAAAGGTAGTCCACAATAAGGCTTTCTCCTATCAGTGTTTATAATTAATTAATTATAAAAACAACTTAACATAAGCTCCCTAACATGTTTGTGGATCTTAATTGATATTGTAGGTGCAGAGTCTCAAAACAGCATTAACTAATGGAACAAATCATTTAGCAGTATAAAGCTGTGGTGGCGAACCTATGGCACACGTGCCACAGGCGGCACGCGGAGCCATCTCTGGTGGCATGCAAGCCATTGCTGGGCCAAGCTGCTCCCTCTTCCTCTCCGCGCATGCGCAGTCTGGGAATAGGCGAGAGGCTATAAAAGGAGCAACTTTCTGCAGAAGCAGCATTTGCTGCAGACAGCTTGAGAGCGAGCACGAGTCAGAGCGGACAGCGAGCGAGTGAGTGAGCCGACTGCTTGGTGGCCACGCCCACTCAGTGGCCACACCCACCCTGCACCCGGCGATGCATAAGTGGGTTTTGGGATGCAGTTTGGGCACTCGGTCTCTAAAAGGTTCGCCACCACTGGTATAAAGAATGTATAAGTACTGTTTTGTTAATAATAGAACTTTCCTGTGGGTGTCATGAAAGTTACTCCTTATAGATTTTTTTTAACCCTTCATATTGGCAACAGCAAATGGCCACTTTATGTGCATTCCTGAATTTGTAGCCATGTTGGAAAATATTCATGTGTTTTTTATGATAATAGATTTTTGCCCCATTCACTGGAAATGTTTCTTCTATTTTTTGTTCCCTGGTTTCATATGGATAGGCTATCATGTACAAAGTTATTTTAAAAATATAATTTCCAATATATGCTTTTTTTAGGCTGTTGTAATCTAATCATATTTTTGTATCTTAGAAATATTAAATGGCTATACAGTACAGGTAGTCAACTTACAACCACAATTGAGCACAGAAGTTATGTTGGTAAGTGAGTTTTGCCCCACTTTACAACTTTTCTTGCGATATTTGTTAAGTGAATCACTGCAGTTGCTAAATTAGTAACATAGTTGTTAAGTAAATCTGGTTTCCCCATTGAGTTTGCTTGTCAGAAGATTGCAAAAGTTGATCACATGACCATGGGACATTGCAACCATCTTACTTCACAGAACAGATTATTTTCTTGTGTGTAGGTTATCCAGGGTGTTATCTAGTTATTGTCTTCTTCTCTTGCAATAAAACAAGACTGGTCACATTTTGTGTGGCAAGTACATTTAAAAAAAATAATGTTGGCTGTAAAAAGATACTGCTTTATTGTATATTTAAAACAACATTTTACGTTATATTCATACATCAAGCTATATAAAATCTGGTTTACTTGATTTTGGTTTACTGCAATGTGTGAACATGGCCACTGTGGTTTATAAACAAGGTGCATGCTTGGCAACTTTAAGATATATAGATTTGAAATTATGGCTGGCTTAGGAATTCTGGGAGTTGAAGTTCCCATACACAGAGTCCTTGACTTAAGACCATAATTGGGAAGATAATTTCTATTATTAAGCATGTTGACTGTAAGCCACCTAGAGTTGCCTCTAGGCAAGATGGGGAACATAGAAGTTTAATAAATCAATCAATAAGCAAGGAAGGAAGGTGTTGAAAGAGTGACACCCAATTTTATAGCCTTTTTTGTCAGTGAATCATTGTAGTTGTTAAGTGAATCACACTGCTGTTAAATAAATCCAGCTTTCCTGTTGACTTTATTTGTCAACAGGAAGGTCACAAACGGTGATTATTGGACCCCAAGACAATGCAACTGTTATAAATACATGCCAGTTGCCAAGTGCCTGAATTTTGATCACGTGATGTGGGAATGCTACAATTGTTATAAGTGTGAGGACTGATCATAAGTCACTTCTTTCAATGTTGCTGTAACTTCAAATGGTTGCTAATTGAATTATTGTAAGTCAAGGACTACTTATATCTTAAAGTTGCCAAGATTAAGAAATACTGATCTAATGCAATATATAAACAGCTAGTGACTTGCTCAGTTTACCTAAGAAGAAAAACTTAATGTAACTTTAACCAATGTAATAGAACAATAAGTTAAATAGGCACCTTTGTTTGATATCAGAGTGGTGTGTATTAATTATAAATTATTTGCTTTAAATTCTTTTCTGTGCAATTCATGTTTATTTTTTATATTTTAACTGTCCTTTTATAGTAGGGGTCTTCAAACCTGGCCCTTTTATGATTTGTGGACTTCAACTCCCAGCACGCCTGGCTGAGGAATTCTAGGAGTTGAAGTCCACAAGTCATAAAAGGCCAAGTTTGAAGACCCCTGTTTTATAGGATGAATAACCTGCAGTATTCAGATTAATGTAAGAAACATGAAAACAATAATTCTGTCCCACATTAAATATAGGAGTTTGCAAATGTGGAAAAAACTAAAAAAAGTTGAGCAAAAAAGGATATTTCAGAAAGATTAGATTCATTTTTTAAAATGAAGTTTTTTGGGTGGCATATAAAAAAATTCCACAGTACCTTAAACTTTTAAAATTAAAGACACTTGAACAAGATACTTATTGTGTAATTTTATAATGTGAATATCAGTTGTAATTTAACATCTGCTGCCATCATTAAAATGATATAAAGAGCAGTTGAATGTCCACATTAGAAGCAGCTGTCCTGCCTACAACTATGCTTGCAATACAGTCACACACACTAACCACATTATCTACCTCTATTCAACTGAAGCTGTCAATTATATTTGCTTTAATATATAATTTTGTACACTTTATCTCCTATCACAATAACATAACATCCAGAATAAAAATATGAGATATAAAAATACAAAGAAAACATGGTAATTACCTAAAGGCAGTCTCAGTCCTGTCACAATTAGGGCACAAAGACTTGCAGTAGGAGGAGGGAATGAGAAAATTTTGTCAGAAAAGATGCTCCTGTAATTAATTACACGGGAGTTGACTGTGTTTTCCAAATAGTTTTCAAACACAGCTGTAAGTACAGAGTATTGTAGTCATTTAGTTTAGAGATGCAAGGGCATGGACAATTGTTCCCTGTGCCTGCCGTTCCGAAAAGTTCCTAAATGGATATGCCAGTCTAAGCTGGGTAAAACCCTCATCCATGCTCTCAGAATCCAAAAAGTAGAGATCTGCCCTTCCTAGCTATTGAAGCTTCCAGGTGTATCCTGATAACAAGGCAAATAGTTCATAGAAGCTGCCAAACCACTAACTCACCACTTTATCTGGATCAGCTTGTGTCTCTGTTGCAGTTCTCTAATGATAGCCACACAGCCACCTCCATTGCTTCCAAGTACAGCAACACTAGAGTC